ACAAGTCCATACCTGCAGTGTTTGTATGAAGGTCAATAAGTGAAGGCATATATTTGTCTATAACTGTAGCTATATAAATGTAGGTATATAAATGTAGGTCTATAACTGTAGGTATACAAATGCAGTTCTGTTATAAAGTACCATGTAATAAAGTATGTTTATAACTATAGGTATTTAACTTTAGTGTTCAAAACGTGTTTTGTCTGGTGTACTGTACATAGTATGGTGTCTGGTGTACTGTACACAGTATGGTGTCTGGTGTACAGTACATAATATGGTGTCTGGTGTACTGTACATAGTATGGTGTTTGGTGTACATAGTATGGTGTCTGGTGTACTGTACATAGTATGGTGTCTGTTGAACTGTACATAGTATGGTGTCTGGCGTACTGTACATAGTATGGTGTCTGGTGTACTGTACATAGTATGGTGTCTGGTGTACTGTACATAGTATGGTGTCTGGTGTACTGTACATAGTATGGTGCCTGGTGTACTGTACATAGTATGGTGTCTGTTGTACTGTAGATAATATGGTGCCTGGTGTACTATACATAGTATGGTGTCTAATGTCTGGTGCACTGTACATAGTATGGTGTCTGATGTACTGTACATAGTATAGTGTCTGGTGTACTGTTCAGAATATGGTGTCTGGTGTACTGTACATAGTATGGTGCCTGGTGTACTGACATAGTATGGTGTCTGGTGTACTGTACATCGTATGGTGTCTGGTGTACTGTACATAGTATGGTGTCTGTTGTACTGTAGATAGTATGGTATCTGGTGTACTGTACATAGTATGGTGTCTGGAGTACTGTTCAGAGTATTGTGTCTGGTGTACAGTACATAGTATGGTGTCTGGTGTTATGTACATAGTATGGTGTCATGTGTTATATACACAGTATGGTGTCTGGTGTACTTAACATAGTATGGTGTCTGGTGTACTTAACATAGTATGAAGTCTGGTGTACTGTACATAGTATGGTGTCTGGTATACTGTACATAGTATCATGTCTGGTGGACTGTACACAGTATGGTGTCTGGTGTACTTAACAAAGTATCGTGTCTTTTGTACTGTACATAGCATGGTGTCTGGTGTACTGTACACAGTATGGTGTCTGGTGTACTAAACACAGTATGGTGTACTGTACATAGTATGATGTCTGGTGTAATGTACATAGTATGGCGTCTCATGTACTGTACACAGTATGGTGCCTGGTGTTATGTACATAGTATGGTGTCTGGTGTACTGTACATAGTATGGTATCTGGTGTACAGTGCATAATATGGTGTCTGGTGTACTGTACATAGTATGGTGTATGGTGTACTGTACATAGTATGGAGTCTGGTGTATTGTACATCGTATGGTGTCTGGTGTACTGTACATAGTATGGTGTCTGGTGTACTGTACATAGTTTGGTGTCTGGTGTACTGTACATAGTATGGTGCCTGGTGTACTGTACATAGTATGGTGTCTGTTGTACTGTAGATAATATGGTGCCTGGTGTACTATACATAGTATGGTGTCTAATGTCTGGTGCACTGTACATAGTATGGTGTCTGATGTACTGTACATAGTATAGTGTCTGGTGTACTGTTCAGAATATGGTGTCTGGTGTACTGTACATAGTATGGTGCCTGGTGTACTGACATAGTATGGTGTCTGGTGTACTGTACATCGTATGGTGTCTGGTGTACTGTACATAGTATGGTGTCTGGTGTACTGTACATAGTATGGTGTCTGGTGTACTGTTCAGAATATGGTGTCTGGTGTACTGTGCATAGTATGGTACCTGGTGTACCGACATAGTATGGTGTCTGGTGTACTGTACATCGTATGGTGTCTGGTGTAATGTACATAGTATGGTGTCTCGTGTACTGTACACAGTATGGTGCCTGGTGTTATGTACATAGTATGGTGTCTGGTGTACTGTCCATAGTATGGTGTCTGGTGTACAGTGCATAATATGGTGTCTGGTGTACTGTACATAGTATGGTGTCTTTTGTACTGTACATAGTATGGAGTCTGGTGTATTGTACATCGTATGGTGTCTGGTGTACTGTACACAGTATGGTGTCTGGTGTACTTAACAAAGTATGGTGTCTTTTGTACTGTACATAGCATGGTGTCTGGTGTACTGTACACAGTATGGTGTCTGGTGTACTAAACACAGTATGGTGTCTGGTGTACTGTACATCGTATAGTGTCTGGTGTAATGTACATAGTATGGTGTTTGGTTTACTGTACATCCTGTGATGTTTACTTGTATTCAGAAAATGTGACTACCCATCTGTTAAAGTGCCTATGTAAAAACTTGAGTTCGGGAAATCTTGGAACCATAACGGACAAGTAGTTGATAGTATTGGGTGTATTTGCAATAATTATTGTGTATATTCGCAAAGGTATTACTTATATTAGCAAAATGTATTGCTTACATTAGCAAAATGTATTGCTTACAATCACAATAGTTTTTTTAAAGATTTGATTTGGCACCAATGGGCTTCCGTGATGCATGAGTCCTAATAGAACTGATAGTACTATCGATACTGAATAGTGCCTAACCACCGCGGCCGTTGTACATGGAAATGAAATGTGATAAGTGAGGTATATTAGATCTATTATTGATAATATCTCAGAAATGACACTGGATGTTTTTCTTACTTTTTTTTTTTAAACATTTCTTAATAATATTTTCAATATCATTTCTGACATTAATTCCCCACAATAAAGTCACTTCGTGAACTCATTGTAACCTCAGCTGTTTAATTTGTCTATTATCGATACAATTTATTTTACAAGCTATCCTGGCTAGTGTTCACTCTGGTCCAAATAAAACAAAGTGGTCCTTGTGTTATACATTTATTATTTAAATCTGTATAGTACAAATCCAATGAGGCGTTACAGGATTTAGAACGAGCTGACTCCGAAGCTTTTGATCTACATATCTCTGTGTATTAATATTTACGATGTACTGTGTTACATGACATACCTATGTGTATACATACTGTGACCTCCCATTAAATTCTAACATTGGAACTCACGTAATGTATTTGCTATTTCCAGAAATTGGTGCGATAATGTGATAAATTAGCTCCGTGTGCCAGGCCCATACACCCGTAATGATTATATTTAAAAAAAATACACAGAACAAAGATTACACAGTACACTGATATATATATACAGGTATGGTGTCCTATTTAGTGTTCAATCAGAAAACTTAAGTATCACCAATTTGCTGACGCAACACATATCACTACAAAGCTTAAAACAGGAGTTAAATTATTAGTACGTTTATCATGTCGTGTTTGTATTTATCTCAGTATTGATGTGATAACAGCACTATGTATCTGACTGTACAAAACTCAACAATATGGATATCGTTAATGTTTGTCAATTTCATAACATGAATACTATCTCTTTTGTACTAAGATACATAACTATTATGGGCATCAGGTCTTCGGTGAACAAAACAGTCCGTTAGAAACGTGTGCAGCTAGTTATGTTGGGTATCCCGTTATAAGCGGTTTTTTTAGTTGAGCCCTCCCAAAATGCTGCATGGATAGTTATTCTATACAAATTAATAATTATATTATCTAGGTTGATATTTGTATATTACATACACTAGCGTAGGAAAAGAGGGGGGGGGGGGGGGGGGGGGGGGGGGGGGGGACTGTCCCCCCCTTCCCAATTGTCCCAGAGGTGACTTTTGTGAAATGTGTAAAGTGTAAATCCGTTGATTTTTTTTTATACAAAATACGCTCAAAAATGCAGGAAATGGAGCCAAAGTGTTATATATTACACAGGTCAAAAGTGTTATATATTACATAGGTCAAAAGTGTTATATATTACACAGGTCAAGTGTTATATATTACATAGGTCAAAAGTGTTATATATTACATAGGCCAAAAATGTTATATACTACACAGGTCAAAAGTGTTATATATTAAACAGGTCGATAATGTTATACTACACATGGCGCTATTTTATATTAAACATGTCGATAATGTTATACTACACATGGCGCTATTTTATATTAAACATGTCGATATTTTTGTATTAAACATGTCGATATTTTTGTATTATACATGTCGATATTTTTGTATTATACATGTCGATATTTTCATATTACCTGAATTTCGGTATTTTTATAACATAAATGTCGATAATTTTGAAATACACATATTCTGAAAGTACAGTATTGGATCTGATTCGACATCGATATCTATACAGTGTAACAAAGGACCAAGGAAGTCACTATTTGGCTGCATTCAAATGGGGTCTTAGAACTTGCTGAGGAAAGGCAACTTACTGACCGAAACCGACAAAGAAAAGCACAGAATTTATTTTTGTTACTGAAAACACACACCTTTACAAGGTGACTATGATAAATAATAACTTTATTGCTGTTTTCATTCAATTTTTCAATTTTTTAATGTCGATCATCATCATCATCATCAACACCATCATCTACCTGTACATCGTACACGGCATGCATCGTGTGTAGCATATATACATGTAGAACATATTCATCGTTATCATAATCCTACATATTTACACACCTAATAAAAGTCTGTGGTATTTAATTTCTTTTACGTATCACGCATACATATACTATCATCACCATCATCATCATCATCATCATCATCATCATCAACAACAACATTACAGCATCATACAGCATCATAATTGCCTATATCATGAATCTCTTTCATCGTCATCACCATCATGCATAAATATCCTCTCATTCATATACACACACACATTTACTCAGACAATAACAGATACACGGAATAGCAAGGTAAAGAACATAAAGAACATTTAACCATCATCTATATAATAATAATAATTGGAAGATAGTAAAATCGGATTTTCTTATCCATATCGTCTAACTGCAATATGCTAATTTCCCGCCAACTTCCTGCGCATGTGTACAACTACCACAGTCTACATTGGCAAAGTAGGCGAAGATGGCGGGAAGTCTGTTGAGTGCGTGGCAGATTTTAACAAATTTAACGTGATTTATGCTATGAGCACACAACATTTCGCGGATGACTTGATACTTCAACATTCCATGTAAGTAACGTATATACTATCGATGTATTCTATTGACGTAATAATCGGAAAATGCATTTTCAATGTCGAGAAGTCGCTGCGGAATTCTGATCCCACATGTTACAGATCTTGACCCTTATCTGAGAAGATTATTGCTTGAAATATGCTTCATTTCATAAGTCAGTTGACAAATCTTTGTAGTGAAGGCTGGTTATTGAGATGAGAAATTAATAGTTTGTCTGAAAATGTAAACATCTCACGTAGGCTTGGTCGTCTAGCAATCTCGAGGGTGGAATTTTTGCACGCGCTGACTAGGATGAACGGCGCATTTCCGTTTTTACGATAGACCCGTTCAAAACATAGACGGATTGATTTCTGTACATAATTCGGAAGGTGTACTTTTATGAGCAGGTTTGTCTGGTGATAAAATGTATTTTCATGTTACCCACCGCACTATCGCGGTATGTAACGAAAGATGTAGTCATGGCAGACAGTTTTTCATCGCGCATGTCCACCTGTCTGGAAATATGCTATGGTTTGACCTTACTTACGGAAACGAAATGAAAATATGCTTTTATTGCACCTAAATGTTATATCAATTGCGTCCATTTTGTCTGTATGATACCTTCATTGACATCTTCAACTGTTGTGTGGGGGAAATTTATGCTTTCGGCGACATTAACACTATTTTTTAATGTGGGTATAAAAAGAGGGGAGGATTAAAGGTCAAGGTTAAATCAGGACATAATCGTTTACGAAAATAGATCAGAAATGGCGGTGTTATCATCGTTAAATATACTTCCTGAGGACTTCCTATCAATCTTCCGAGAAAAAATATAGCGCACATTTTGTCAAATTTTCATTTGAAATGAAAGTTTATACGTATTTGTGTTTTGGTGTCCATATCATTAACATTCAACTTCCAATCATGGATTTAGAAGCAGACTGAATATTCAGCAATGCATTCAGTAACAAGGTGTAGATGGAATTGAGAAAGAAATATGAGCAGCAGGTGTTACTCCGCTAATTATGTTCTGCATTTTACATGGGTTTTATAATGCATTACTATTAGGTTCTTTAGCATGGACTAAAATGCAGTATAAGTAATTGTCATATATGGTGATTGATGTCTCTTAATTGATACATTCGTAAGAAATATATATTACTTTCACTTTTGGCAAATGATTTTTGTTTAGAACTTTGGTTGTGTTGGTATTCCATATTGCACTGAAATAAAATTAGGAAAGTGACCTAAATTTTCTTTGTGATCATTCATCAATTTTTTGCTTTGTATTTAAAAGTTCAAAGCATTTCTATACATGAAAATGTAAATGTATATGGAGAGACAGCACAAATGTTATCTGGTCTTACAAACATCATGAAAATTGATACTATGGTCAATATCTAAAGCCTCTTGGATGCTGAAATAGTATACTTATATACGGTATATATATTTTTTTGAAGACTTAGCTGGTGGCAAAACTTTAACTTATTGATTAGAACAATTTTCCTGAGTCATTGCATGTGACTTATTCTTATATTTGATATAATAGGTCCCAGATGCAGTTTTGAAAGTATAAGGGTCTACTGGTCAGCAGCCATAAAAAATCTGGTTGGTCTTAGTAAAATTTCATTTAGTTAGCCCCACTGGCTATGTATTTTTTGTAATCTCGATATCCATTTTTCATCTTAAATCATATTAGAACTCAAAAGTAATAAAATGCAAGTACTGCATTGAGAAAAACAGGAAGCAGGATATTGGGAGCTCGCTGTCTCAGGTTTAGATAGAAGGAATCGGTAATTTTATAGCATTAATGCATGTGAAAAAAAGTAGTTATCACAAGTATGCTGAGAAGGCATTACATAAATAAACATGAAACCAAGAAGTTTGAAGGAGTCGCTGCCATGAAACAACTATCACAATCTCAACTACAAAATCTTTGCCATTAGTTTAGAAATCCCCATGCTGTTACGAAACTTGACTTCCCATTATTAGGATTATGTGGCATTGTTCATGTGTCACCTTGACGGTGAAAAATCTCACTTGTGGTATCACTTTGAAAAAATGACTCTGTCAATGAAATTTCAATTTTCTGAAGACCAATTGTCTATGGAAAATTTAAGTTACTTTCAAACACTGCAGATGGTAACATTCTGTTGTTGTTTAAGATCGAGTATCTTCCTTCTCCATGCAGGATTTTGATTTTATTATGGCAAGATTAACTTATTTCTGGATAAAGAAAATATGTACAACCATTCAGTTGCCAATTGCATTTTGTATCATCTGTAAAAAAAGAGACAAGGCAATAGAGCAATGGTATATTTCAAATTTGAAGAAAAATATCAATCAATTGTTAACGTAACGATCAGTTCCAAAAGTCTTCTGGATCAATGTCATGCTTTCTTGTGTTTTGAAATGTGTGCTTAAGGTTATACATGTTCTCAGGGTAGTGTGTTTTCATTGTCCAGTTTTGATTTGTTGCTAGTAGATAATTATTGAATAGCCAAAAGGTCAATTTCCTTTCAAATGAACTTCAATGGCAAATCAGCCAATGCAAAGATTGAATTGACCTAAATATAGCCAGTTGACAAATGCATGTATTTGGTTGTGTAGTTTCTGTAATTTATATTGCAATAATATATGATTTTTGCTACTTTACAGTTTACAAAGGCATTGATACAGAAAGACAATGGCTGCTACTTTGTTGGCATCAGAAGAAAATTCACCTACAGACTCCCCGATAGCTTCACCACTTCCGAGCTTAGAATCTGAAGAACATGCTTGTCCTATTTGTGAAGAAAAACTAAGTCAGCCCAAGGTTCTTGATTGTCTTCATGTTTTCTGTCAGGCTTGTTTAGAAAAGGCACTGGAAGAGCCAACAGATGGAGGAGATGCTTCATCTGGATGCATTAAGTGTCAGACATGCAAACAGGAGACAAAGGTTCCACCCAAGGGGCTGGAGGACCTACAGTCCGATTATGTGACTGTAGATCTTTTGGAGATGTCTTCGATTGAGGACATGCAGATTGTCTGTACCAGTTGTAAGGCCAAAGAAAAGGCAGTTGCCCGGTGCAGTGACTGTGCAAACTTCCTGTGTACGAACTGTGTGACAGCTCATCAGTTTATGAGATGTTTTGATAATCACAAGGTACTTATAGAGCAATATTCTAGGAGTAGGAGAATATATTGTTATTGTTCATATCCATGTTTTATGTATTGGTTCCTCTTAAAGAGACCTACTGTGCTTCCTCAAATCCCATGATAAACATTTGATATGGTTATATTCTTTAAAAAGTTGCAAAATAACATAACTCAATGAATTGTTTTGATGTCCTGCTAAAATAGGTCAAGAGTGCATAAGAAATAGTTTCTCACATTCAGTTGACTTGTGTATGTTTCAGGGTTGATCAGTTATTCTGAAATCTGCTAAAATTTAGGTGTTGAATCCTTTCATTCTTAAATGGCCCTGTATATAATTATATTTTTTTAATGTATTTACTTTTTATTTGAAGGTGGTTTCATTTGAGGAAATACAGAAAGGAGATGGACTTCCCATCCACAAACCAATATATTGTCCTTCGCACTCCTCTGAAACCATGAGACATTTTTGCAGCACGTGTGAGGTATCAGTCCTTTTACTTTTTTCAATTTGTACATGTATTTGAAAAGAAATGTTACTAGGGATGTCAATATGGTATAAATTACTTTTCAAATATTGATCTGATACAGTATTTGAATATTTTTTAGGCTCTCCATATGGTACACAACTTTCACTTACTAAGCTTGCTGTACTGTACTGGTACACTTAACTAATAACAGAAAGGTGCTTACAATAGTACTATAAATGCAGCACATGACTAATTTGACTGGGGGAAAAACGCGCGCACACACAAAATATGTCTTGGAAATGATAGGATGTAGCACAATTATGTCATGGAAATGGAAAGATGTGAGGACAGTAAAAGTATCTTTTTAGTCTTCATGTTCCTGTATGTATGTTGCTAATTTTAAATGAATTTACTAGTACATTTTAGGTGTAGAAAGGAGATGGACTTTCATTCCACAATTATGTGTCCTCATATTTCAAAACTTGGGAAATAGAACTTCATAACATAATTGTTTCACTATTTTTGTATACCAAAATAATGTTAATTCCATATCCAATGAAAATGGTGGCCTGTGTTGTATGTATCAGGACAAGAACAATATGACATCAAACAGAATCTAATATTGAAATGATTGATCACTTCTTATTATGAAAATCCACATACACTTTCTTATGCAAAGTCTTAAATATAGTCATTTGTCGTTACTATTTACAAAGTACCCATCGTCAACATAGCAATTAAAATGTCTGCAGGAAGGTGCCATCAGATATTTGTAGTGGTATATTACCTGCAGTTGATAACAACTGTTCATGAACAACCATATTAAATAGTGGTTAGGTTGATTGTCAGTACTATAAACTGAATTATGACAGTTTTGTGTTAAGGTATGGAATTGATTTTTTTGTTGTTTCATGTATACCAGGTTCAAAATTTAACTGTTTAGAGGTGACCTCAGGCTCTGGTAATAGAATAACTAGAATTAGTTTATTACTATGCTGATAAATTTTACAAGTGTAAAACTTTGAACATTTATAACACCTTGGTAGTTTAGCTGACGAAATACGTAACTGAAGGAAAATTAGACCATCCCTTGACTGAGGACATTGCAATTTTAATGATCTTCCAAGTGCTTATATCTAATAATGGCAAAAAAGAATGTTTGAGTACCATATTCCTATTCAAATACTACTCTACTGAATGAATATTCAAACTATTTGTTGACATCTCTAGTCATTACTTATGAATATCAACACATTTATACGTCAAAGTAGTGTTTTTACCGAAGATTATGTGACTTTTAGTGGGAAAGTTTGGTCATACTCTCTTTTCTCTGTAGATAGAAGAACCATAATAGATCATACATTGATTAAGATGGAAATATTTAAAATCAGAAAATGTAATTTGAAGGGAAAGTTACTTAATTCAGTCATGCTATTTTGTGGCTGGAAGTCAAGGACATAATTACATTTCACAGCTGGAAGTGAACCCCTCTAACTCTTAGTATTTTATATCATAAAGCCAATTTATTTCAAGATAACAGGCATTTTACCACTGAAGAACGTGAACTAATGTTATGCAATGTAACTTTAAGGAAAAGAAAAGCAAGAACTAAAGGTTGAAAAGTTGGAATCTGTATTTTAATACTCGATCATCAGGAATGGTGCTTACGTTTTTTGACATTTCTAGTTCATAGGTATAAAAGGGCTATGATGAACATGACAATCTGTCTGAATTTTGGGATAAAAGATGAAAGGATGCTTCTAAAATGCATTTTACTAGAGGGATCAGTGGATAGATGCTGATGTTATAACAATGACTTCCCATATCTCCTTAACGGTTGATTTGTACTTATGTTCTCAGGTGCCCATCTGTAATGAATGTTTGCTGACTGACCACAAAGTACCAGAACATTTCTCTGAAAGAATATCTGATATTGAGGGGAAGTTCTTTGATGAAGTACAGAATCTGGTCACTGAAAGTAAGAGCAAAATCAAGTTTTGTGATGAGGCAACAAGCACTCTGGAAAATGCTCTTAGTGAGCTACAGATGCAGCGAGACAATGCCAAGGGTCTGATACATGAAACATTCCAAAGCTACAAGGCAATGTTGGAGAAAAGAAGGGTAAGAGAATTTTTAGGTCAATATGACCTTCCATTATTGTTATATTTTCAATGAAAGAACTATGGTGGAGCATAAATTTGTTTCATTACATGTAAAATTAAGTTAATTCAGTTTCCGGACACATGTGGAAAAGTGATTTTAAGTTTGTTAAGAACTTAAGTTAAACATTCTTTTTAGATGAATATTTGCTGTCATTTGTTACTTTCTGTTAGTAGATGGAAAGTGTTTTTTAATTTGCAATTGGGATGCAATATGAAAGAAGTAAATGACAACACCTGATATTTTACAGGATGACTTATTTCAAGAAATGGAAGAGTTGCACTCAAAGCAAGAACTTGGTATCATGGACTTGTTTCACAACCTTGAAAAGACAGTGGACAAAATTGAAGATGGCAGCAAATTTGCAGACATGGTTCTAAAGCATGGCAATGGATTGCAAGTGATTTTGATGAAAAAGATGATAACATCACAACTGCTCTCCTTAATCAACAACACCCCAATACCAGATGTTTCTATTTCCATTGAGTTTCATACAGATACAGATGTCTTCCAAGAAGCTGTAAAGAACTGTTTTGGTTCTTTCTCCCAACCAGAGGCAAAGGTTTGTGTGATTTTAGAAAAAAAAGTGGGGGGGAATTGAATTGTTGAACATATAACAAAAATGCATATTTTTGGTGTCTGTTGGAGGAATTGGCTAGGGTAGTCGCACTCATCATGGACATCAATCTTCAGTTTAAAACTTCTTGTGCTGTTGTACCCATTTCAATTCACTGAAAGTAAAATAGGAAGACATTTTATGAAATATAGTTGTTTCTTAGGTGTAACATAAAAAGCAGAGATTTGAATTGTTAAAGAGATAAACTAGTGCTTGACATAATATTAATTACCCAAGAATGTGACTTATTTGGTCATGAGTGTGCCATTTCGTTATCATTCTATACTCTGTCAAACTTTGTGTACATGATTCACTGGTGAAAAGATAATGGTTGTGCTAATGGAAATCCCTTTTAAGTATTGACGATCAGATATTTTGCTAAGGGATGTTTAGAGAAAAAGGATATTTGACATTTCAGGATGTAGGATGAAAAAGTGTAAAGAAATCTGAGGCATGAAATTTTTATAGTATACCAGTAATTGTGCAAATAATATGGTACATACAGAGGATGAAATGATACAGAAGGTGAAAAGTGCTGAAATTCGATGTCAGTGCTGAAAAAGTGCTGGAATTTTGAGTCGATGATTGAATTCGCTCACAAATACATGAAAAGTGCAGGAATTGATACTTTCTTGCTGTAAACAAGCATGTCCTTTTCAGTGAGAAGACATTGAATAAAGGAACTTGTTTCCAAAATGGAACACTTCAAAACTTAAAGTTTGCTTTATTTTAGTATAAAATACACAATGGTGTGTGTAACTTTTCATTGTAATGCTATTTTAATGATATTCAAGTTTAACAATAGAAAATATCCATACAAGTTTGCACACAAAAAAAACTAACCTGAAAATGTACAGGAGAAGTGCTTTGGTCTTGGTATGTAAAATCTGTATGAACAGTGAATAAGTTGTATCTTTCTCTTAGATTGAGGATCCGCAGTCAACATCACTGACATCTTCCTTTGAAAATGAGACCTTCATGAATCCAAGCAATTTGCTGGGCCTTAACAAGTTTGATCGTACACTGATTCCTCCTTCCTCTGAATTCATGCCAAGTCCGATGATGACTCCTGCATCCATAAGTGAAACCAGTCTGCCATGTATACCCCCCTTGCAGAACATGACTGGAGGACATGGCATTATGGCCACAGCCATAAGTGGAGGATCACAGTCCTGTCAAGAAGCTGTCAGCCTATCCCGTAATTCCCACAGCCCAGCTATGTCTGACAGTGGTATATCGGTAGATACTGCCAGCAACAACAGCGGCTCCAGTGCACCAATGTTGAACAACATCCAAGCGTTGGCTAAACTTCATCCTATTAGTTTCAATAGTCAAGGTAAAGGTTTACAGATATTGTTCCTATGTATTCAACATTTGTTGAGGTTAGTACTCTAGATTTGCATAGACCTGGGTACATTGTAGTTGAAAGTGCATGTAGATAACAGTCTTGAGTAAACTAAGTAAGTATTTACAATAATTTTGAACTCCAATATTTATATATTGTCATGAATACAAGTTTTCCTGCTGTGCAAATGGAAAATTTTAGCTTATCTTTTTATGTTAAGCTATCTGGTCGTGTATGGTTTTCAGGAATACCCCCGAGTTCCAGTGGCGGTACTCCTACCCCAATCAGTCATACTGACCAAGCCATGATGATTCATCAACCTCCAACCCCTCGCTCACAGACGCCTACACTAGACTCTATTGTGGACATGCTGCACCAATCCCATAACCCCAGTAGAGGGCTTGGCAATATGTGTTCTAGTGGCAGTATGGGGAGCATAGGCAGTGTCAATAGTATTGGCACCATTGGCAACATGATGAATCCTCCAGGTAGGCTATTGCATAACTTGAGTGCAAAAAAATTAGTTTGAATTCTGGTGTACTTATATATGACATAACCTTGGTAAAAGCATGATGTGATCTCTGAGAGTAAATTTTTTTTATTAACAGAGCTGTGCAGAAAATGTCACCAAGACCTGTTTGAAATGCCTCGATGTGTATAGTTGCAGGCATGTGAAATTTCCGCCAATTGGCGGATTTCCGATTTTTTAACAAAAAAATCCGATTTTTAGAAATATTTTTCCGATTTTTTTCGTCGGTAAAAAAATCCGGATTTGTGGTGTCCGTTTTCGTTTTGCAGTTTATACTTGCCTGAAGTAGATCGTAGAAACGCTTGGATCAACGTAGGTAGTCAAAGCATCAAGTACACACTGATTTAAAGTGCCCGTATGTTACATATCGACCTTGACATGATAATGTTATGTTTTAAAAGGACTTAAGGCAATATGAGTCACCGGAAAGATATAATAGAACGAGATAGTGTGAAGGACGTTTATGGCAAGAAATGCATGCCAAAATATCTGATGGTATACCCCTTAAGTGGCTAGAAATGCATCCCTGGCAGTCTAAATTTTCAAAAATTTTCCGGGGGACCCCCCATATGAGAGGGGGGGTAAATCCCCCCTCTCATACTCTCCTCCCCACTCGCGCCTTCGGCGATCGTATTACTTTTCAGACTTTTTCAAAAAATTCCACTCACATGCCTGATAGTTGGCAACTCTTGGGACACTTTGTTTTCATTTTCTTCAGGCACATTTCAGTTGAGAAAGCAGGGGGGAGGGCGGGGTGTCCAAAAATTTCATGTTAGGGTCAGTAATAAGATCTGTTAAATTGTAGCTCCAATAGGAACTGAGAGAAGTGTAAGCAGTGTCAGTCCTACTGGAACCTCCATCACCTACCCACCACCTGTACGTAGGGGCAGTAAAATGAGTGCTATGCAAATAAGGTGAGTTTAACTTTATTCAGCTGTTTACAATCATTTCTTCATATTGTCACAGGATCCACCATGTGGTAATCTCAGTGTCATCATATAGTTGGCTGTTCAAACTGGCTGTTTACCATCTTGTCACATTATTTTGGACATTAGTGCAAATAGGATTATAGTACAGACGAAAATTTTGATTCCTCACCATTTTGTTCACTACCTATGTCAGTGCTTGTACGCTCCACACCGGTCACTTATCTGACAAAGGTGAGGATGTAGTCTTCAAAACAACATACTCAGATCTTCTATTGGTTGTGTTATAAGAACTTTTATTCTTTCAATTTTACCAACCTGCAGAAATTGTTTTTGAAAAAAATGGCTGTGGTCAGTTTGTCTAACAGATATTTTGTTTTACGGTAATTTTAGATTTTCCTCATAATGTGACAGATAGCCATCTTAGATTTACAAGGTTAAAAGATTGCGATGTAAATTTCGCAGAAGAAAATACCTTGACATATACACTTCCACAATTTTACTAATTTAGAAAACAAGGTAGCTGACATGCAGTCAACATAGATTTTGATATTTGCACGTTTATGCCAGATATCAGAGAGAGCTCAACAGACATTTTTCAGATTTGTGTATAAATTTCCTTGTTAAACGATCTGTGATTATTCATGTCAATACAACAAAAAATTGAAAAAAATTAAGTAAGAAACAAAAGTTAGAAGAAAAAGGTCAAAGATACAATTGGCATACAACCAATAAATATATAATTTGTTGTCTGTTAACAGTCCTTATTGATTGGATATTAACTGAATGTCTACATACTGATCTCTAGCCATGCTTACCTTGCAATGAGGATTAATCAGTTTCATGAATAGCTTGTTTTATTTAATTACTTTAGATGTTTAGGTATCTATAGCAAACTCATGTTTTTGTTTCTGCCTATTTTGAACATCACATTTTAATGATATTGGACTACTGACTTCACATAACATTTGAGTTGGATGTAGCATGGAGATAATTGATAGTAATAACATTGCTGTTTCTTCACAGGTGCAAATTTGGACAGTTGGGCCCAGGAAAAGGCCAGTTTAATTCTCCTCATGGATTCTGTTTGGGAATGGAAGAAGACATCATTGTTGCAGATACCAATAATCATAGAGTTCAAGTTTTCGAAAAAACTGGTGAATTCAAATATCAGTTTGGTATCCCAGGTTAGTTCATGCTCTCTTGGCACTTGTCCATTTCATAAAATGAAGTCTGAACTTCAGTGCAGCTCTTAAAAGAAAAGTTTGCATTGTATTAAAATCTGTAGAGGGGAGGGAGGAATAAGCTGTGTTACAACTTTATGAAAAAAAGACTTTAGAGAAGAAAATACCAAGTACTTAAAATTGTCAAATTGCAAAATAAAGAGTATTGAAATTTTCAATAGCTTTTTTTATCTCTGTATTTTTAGGAAGGGAGGAGGGACAGCTTTGGTACCCACGCAAAATTGCAGTCATGAGAAGCAGTGGAAAATATGTGGTTTGTGATCGTGGAAATGAGCGCTCTCGCATGCAGATGTTTACGCGCAATGGACATTTCGTTAAGAAGATAGCAATCCGTTATATTGACATTGTTGCTGGGTTAGCCATCACATCACAAGGTTAAATTTTCAAAATTTATGCTATTTTATATACATTTTTTATAACAAATGGAGCATTGAATTGATTGAAAGGGATAAATTAATTTCCAGGAAACATGTTATCTGTGTTTTCTTTACTGTCAAAATGGGCCGATCATGTTTATGATGTAAAATTAACGATAGAAGTTTTCAGTTTTCTGATTTATATTTCATCAGGACACATTGTGGCAGTGGACAGCGTATCTCCTACAGTCTTCTGCATTGCTGAGACCGGAGACTTAGTCAAATGGTTTGACTGTAGTGACTACATGAGGGAACCCTCAGACATAGCAATAAGTGGCAAGGAATATTTTGTCTGTGACTTCAAAGTAAGTTTGAAATAGTTTGAGAAACTTTGCATTCTTTAGCATCTAATTATTAAATTGAGGGGAACATGATCAACTCACCATTTTATGAGGACCTTTTTTAATCTCACCCATATTTATTTTGTTCCAGACCAGTGTCAAATATAAATAGTAATAAAATTAAAAAAATTTAATTACACTGTATTGAAAAATATATTCCAGATGGAATTGACAGGACATTAATTCTGGTTTGACTACCTATTCTATGACAGAAATTTGTATTTATTTTCAGGGCCACTGTGTTGTTGTTTTCAATGATGACGGAGCATTTGTTCGTCGAATTGGCTGCGAAAATATTACGAATTATCCAAATGGGATAGATATCAGCGATGCTGGAGATGTCCTGATCGGAGACAGCCACGGCAACAGATTCCATGTGGGAGTGTTCCAACGTGATGGTTCCCTGATAGGTGAATTTGAATGTCCCTACGTGAAAGTCAGTCGTTGTTGTGGACTGAAGATCACTTCAGAGGGATATGTGGTGACCCTGGCTAAGAATAACCATCATGTTTTGGTACTGAATACTTTGTACATTACTTAGGAACTTGAAGTGGACACTGGTGACTATATAATTCTGTAGTTGCCTAATTACTTAGGAACTTAAGGTGAACACTGGTGACTATATAATTCTGTAGTTGCCTAAAACAGCTTTTGCTGTATTTCACGGGATGTTGTTGACAACTCATGCCCATGATTAGTAGTTGTAGCCACATGTTAATGATTTTTTTTCCCTTTTTTGTTTTTGTTTATTTTTCAAGTTTACATTTACTCCCCTTTTTTCATTTTAACAAGTATAATTTATATTCCAGATGAATTACAGTGACACGTTTATCTTGACAACCCGGTCTTGTTTTGAATCCAAAACATTCAATTTAGCACATATATAACAACTTAATATTTTCAGGTTGGGTTTGATATATTAAAACATTTGGTTTGCAACTAACAAAACATATTCTCCATTGTGTTGTAAAATCACTAGCAGTGTAATCAGATTCATTGAGCAATGAAAAGTGCACATTTATATTCTGTACTGCAAGAAAAAAATTAGCAGAAAATGTATAAAAAAATATTGGAGACCGATCGAAGCTATTTATTAATGGCTTTAGAATATAGAGCATTATGTATACAACACATGCTTATCTCTAGTCACATACTCGACCCTTTATTAATGATATAACATGACCAGTTTTTTGCTGTGCCTTAAAGGGATTATGATTTTTTTTCTTTGTTATATTTTATCTGTGTTCATTCTAAAATAATGATGGCTTTACAATGAGATCACATATTTTGAATGGTGATGTTTAAAAGATATATGTATATGTCTTAGTTGTATACTTTTTAACTGGTTATATTACATTTATATATAGAATACAGATTGCTCATGTTTTCATACATGGTTATTATTGTGTATATTAACAATTTGGTATGTACCCACCATTATGCATACTGTAGTATATGGTATCATAATCAAAATATTGTTGATTTGTTTACTGAATTATTCCTATATGGGTTCATGCCGTAAGTAACCCAAGGGCCATTATTACATGGTGATAATTGATTAAATATATTAAGTTCTGTTTCTTTTTTTCTTTTTTTTTTCTCCAAAGGTATTCCGGATGTATATTTTATCCAACTAATTTTTGACTGCAGTTTAAATTTAATTAGAAAAAAAGAAATGTGTCTCCCTTTTGAGCACATTTTTACAATCTACTTATTTAGTCTCACATTGTTTCAAACTTTTCATTATATGACAATCTAGTTTTAGTGGTTACAACGAGCTTTTCATGTTTTGAAGAGACCTTTGTCTTAATGTTCATGTTCTCCAATGTTTGAAGAATTGTATTAGAATGTTACAAAATGTACAAATGTACAAAAAAGTTTTGAGAAATTATTTTATTTGAATGCTTTCAAATTTTGACAGTTTGCATTTAAAAATGTTTGATTGTTCCTATTCCTGTACTTTTCAGGTGTTTGATGTGAATAACAGTTTGCATATTTCTTTGCCAAGAATCTTTCACATTATTGTAAATAAGGGTAATTTACAAAAAAGAAAAGAAAAAAAAAGAAGTTTAATTATTGTTGATTTATTTGCTGTTGTTATTGAGACAGGTTTTTGAATTGCTTTCAAACCTGTGACAATTCACAACAGTATTTTTGTCCTGTGTAGATGTTTTTTTTTTTTTGACCCGGAAAGTGCCATCTAGTGATTACAAGATTTGTCGGTATTGCATATGATGAAACGGAAATCATCCTTGCAAGCATTAACAGCAATGTGATTGCAAGTTAATTGCAATTATACATATTTTTTTTATTTGTTCTTTATTCCTGTCGTTTTCATTTATAGAGTTGATTGAGAATCCTATTTACATACTTGTAATTATAAATGTTGATATTATATGTTGGTCTTGGTCTAAATAGTGATTGTTATTATATATGATTTCATTACTCCCAATTTTCTCATGCAGGGTCTAAGGTATTGGAAGCACGTAACATTCAGTCTTTTTTTTTTTTTTTTTTTTATTGTACATATTTTTGTGATAGTGAAAACAAACTAGCAGAAGTGGACTTAATGTTGTTCTTGAGAAAACCTGGAAAATTAATTTATATTTTTGATCTTGAAATTTCTTTTACATACACAGCTGTTAAATCAAAATATTTAGGGAAAAGAATGAAGCAGTTGCAATAAACTAGTAATAATTGACCCTGCTGATTTTATTTTACATACAGGTGATTTTATCACAAAATATGTATGTTTGAGGGACCAATATCAAGTAGATTCTATATTGTTTTGTGCTAGTGAGTGTGTGTATAACTGATGCTGAGTGAGGGTGTGAAAAATATATACACATATTATTACACTACAGTATACATTGGTATATATATATTATATATATATATAAATGTGGATAAATAAGTAACCTTTTGTCTTGTATTCGGAGATATTTTCAGACACAATATATATATATATATGGACAACTTTTGAAATTTTTTTTATTTGTGCTCAATTTCTGAATAATGCCTAAACATTAAAGGCAGGTTTAAATTAATATTTATAACATACCTCTAACACTGTAAAATAATTATTATACCTCGCTCTAAAACAATGCTAGTTTGTCATTAATGACATGCAAATAGTTGCCCATCCAAGGAAGTTTTTTGGAAGTCATAATTTAGAAAATGCATTGTTGTAACCTGAGTAAACAAAACTCCAGAAACTCAATTATTAATATACTATGCAGAAAAGAATATTGTATTTAGATTCTTAACATTTTCCTCTCATAATTTCACATAAACTGGGGAAGATAAAATTTGCTAATGAAGAAAAAAATGTTTTATTATATTGTTCTTCACTGAAGATTGCAGCCATATTATTTGATGTGCAGAATGTCTAAATTGTGTCTTTATTTGGTTAGTACAGGGGAAAATATTGAATAGAACAAGTTTGTAAATGACGTTTTCATAAAAATTTTGTCATTCCCAATCAGATGGTTTTTGTCACCCCTACATTATCATTAGATGCAATAAAATTGAAGTTTGTCAAAACATGACAAAAAGAAATTCTTTTCGCTGCAATCTTCAGTGCCATATTGTTTGCCAACTTAAGCCCCAAGGAGATTTTTTTAAATCGTTAATGTTAAATCAAGTGGTTTATAAATATATATATTTTTTATTTGAATGGTATGTTGTACGAAACAGGGGCACTGGAAGAAAGTTATTTACAATGAGTATCGATTATATGTTGAAATGTTACATTCACTTAAATAAATGATGAGGGTTAATCTTACAGAAGAATACCAGTGCAGTTGTACTACAGAAAATTTTAAAAGAAGAAATGAGACTCTTTTCAATTTCTCATTTTACATTCAATTTTAAGGATCTCAAAAAGTGAATCAAAGTAATAACATTAACTGCAATATTCTTGCCATTGTGATTGTTAGTAATTCAACAAATTAGCATAATACTCTTGGGTATGCATTTTTGATCCTGTCTGCATTGCACAAGTCTGTTCTGTTGGAATCTAGAATACCACCTCTGGTACAGACAGAACTGTAAACTTCAAGCATAAAAGATGGTACAAAAAAACTGTCAAAAGAACAGTTGACATTTGGATAAGAACTGTGTATTGCAAACAAATATGTTGCCAAATATTTTCCTAATTTTTATTATATTTTTCTTTATATACACAATATACATGAAATGTTTACATGTTGGATTTTTAAACTGTCTCTCTGATATATTTTTTGTGAATATTGTTTTGGATTCCTGTCAGAGGAAACAATTGGCACCTTGATGCTGCAGTGATCAGTGCTAAGCTCACCAGAAGCAGATACAAAAAGAAAAAAACGTTTGGACTCTTTCAAAAAAATCAATTATAAGATAAAAGTTAATGTTCAGTTGTTGAACTTTGACATCAAACTAGCAGCAGAAAGAAGACTGTCAATAAATTATTCTGATCCCTTTATTGTAACTATTCAAGTAAAGTTTATGAGATAAAATAACAGGATTGATTAGAGCTGCCATGTGTTTATCAGAGGAATCTATGATAGTAAGCATTGCATATCAGATTAGTAAAACTTATATTTGTTCCGATATTAATTTTGAATTGTAGCAAGTTATGCACCAATGTTATAAATAATTACAAATTTAGTGCTTTCCCCCATGTTTTGTAATTATAACGCTTAACATTTTTTTTATACAATGGGTATATATAAAAGACATAAAATGTCACCTTTAGTTTGTTTGTCCCAGTGTTTTTCTTGTTGATAAACTTTCCATTTCATCATAATGCAAGCTGACAATTTTTCTATGTGTTTACTGTAAATGTTGATATTGAGGACAGTTTAAGAGATAATCATTGAACCCTCCATGGATAGGACTCGGGTCCACAGGGAATATCAAAAATTTTTTTTTTTTTTTTTTTTTACAATACAAAGTTTATTGAATAGAAGTGGTGCTCTGCCTTTGAAATATTGTATACTGTTTGCGTATTTTGGCAAATTTTCCCATACCCAGATTTATAATTTTAATTCTTGTTTAGTAACATTTTTGTTTTATTATATATCCCTGTCACTTTTTTCCTTCTCTCTGGCTTTAGTTATGTATATTAAGGTGTTTACATTTAATCCATGTTTAGTCCGACTATGGTCAATCATTTATTTACTATTACATTTTTTCTTTAACAAAACAAGCTATTTTTGTTGAGTAGGCAAGATCACTAATTTGGTTGATTTTTCCCCCCTCCAGTATTTAGTATGGTGTCTATCAGTCATCCGTGTTGCAAGGTCAGATTTTGTGAACAATATTAGGTGTTTCTTTTATTTGGTAATTTTCATCCCCTTTATTATTATTATTTTTGAAATACTTTATTAATTATAATTACACTTTTCATATACAATTATATATAAATAATATTTTGCAATGTTATTTTTTTCTAGTATTCAACCAATATTGATTCCGCGTGGAATAACCGCCATATACATACATAGATATACAAATGTACAGCAATTATTGTATTAAATAAGCCTGATTTTAATTCACAATAGTGGCTAACAAGGGAATCTATCAACAGGTAGCAAAATTTGAATGGTGTAATATTGGTGTTGTCACAATTGAGACCTGCACATACCTGTTTTAGGCATGGTGTAACTAGTGTAAAAGTGTAAAGAAAACATGAAGAGATTTCCATTTTGGAATATTTTGTAATGTTTATTGCCAAATACGGCTGCTTTGTTCTGTTTAACACAATATATAATGCATTCAGGAATTAATGACATGTTTTATTGTAGGGGAATGGTTTATCGTTTTCAAAATCATCCAATATTAGTATTTAAAAAAAAAACTTTAAAAAAAAAAAGAAAAAAAAAAGAAAAAACAAAAATGGGAGAAAAAAAATGTTGAAAAATTACATGTGCTTTTATGTTTTGCCATTCCTAGTTTTTTGTTCAATTTTGTAAATGACTTTGCAATGATATACAAATTAATTCACAAGTCTGGTTATTATTATACATTGATTTTTTGTCAGTTGCACATAATTCCTGGATGGTTGGAGCATATTTTTAGATTGATATATATGCAACTAATACAAGGCTGATTCAGATGTTGCATACTTTAATTTTAACTTGTGCAGGGAGTACCATGTGTTTTTATTAATTTTAACTCACTTTAGTCTGCATTCCTTGATCAAAAAAATTATGAAAGTAATTGTTTACTTCTAAAATTAATATAGTAAGTCCATGTTGATTCATTTTCCTTTTTTGCTTTCTTGTTTGCAAACTTGCCTGAACATGAGGAGTAATTTTTCCAGTTTGGCTCCTTAACAGTAGCTGCACTGAGTAACAACTGACCTGACATAAAATGCAATAAGTTTTCCAGTAGGTTTTCCAGATTCATATGGTTATTTTTGATACTGCATATTTATGAGATGTTAATGTCAAGTCGGCTGTATATAAATATTGCTTTGACAGAGTGTATTTGATATTTGCAACTTTGATATTGATTAAGAGTCTTTTGTTTTGCTTGTCGTCTTGGATAATATTTTTTGGTCTGTTAGCAACAACAGCTAAAAGAGAGCTTAATGACATGGTGCTAACTTCACTGTTCCAGAATGGCTGGATAGAGATTGTGTAAAGTCAGTATGCTTCCCCCTTCCCAAAGGAACAGAAGTTAAACTTTGATTAGTTTGAAGATCTTCAGTCGATTCTTCATTCCACCAAACAAGTTCCATAAAAAGTTATCAGTAAGGAATCTATAGAATTGTTTGGGGCTGATTTAAAACTGAGAACAGATGCTAGATGAGTTTCCAATTCTCAATGGATACGTTAAAACCAGAGCTTGTATGAATTGTTGTATTATTGTTTGGCTCAAAGAGACCTCAACAATGAACAGGGTCTGAAGTTGTCAGAAACATTTTGAACATTTTGGTGGTATATATTGATATTAGGCTGCATAGACCTCATACCTTCTATGGCAGTAGTATGGATACAGCAAGTTTTGGTACTAAAGGAGCAAAACTATATGTCCTTGTTTCTTTCCTAATACCCTAAATCTGATATTCCTGTGAGTCCGCACCTTATTCAGAAAGTCCAGTTTGTGTTGACGGCAATTGGCAAAGAATGGCCATGGAGTTCAATACATCAGTGATTAGAATCCCTTATTTCTTAAATCCAAATTGAAGAATGTTAAAAATACTATTGTTGATCTTGGAATGCAGATGGAGGTATCCCAACTTATTGTGTATTATAATGTAATGTTTTGAAATGTGTCCACGAAGGAGGTTTAAAACTTGACAAGTCGCTTGTTGTAGGATTATGGAAGCAGGTGAACATAATTTTAATCAAACGAAAGGGGCAACTATAAGTTGTGGTATCAACAACGAATTTTTGATTTGTTTTCTTCTCCAATGCCATGACAGGAATGTTTTAGGAATCCAATATATTTGTGATCCCTACTTGTCACATCTTTACTTTTTCTAACAATTCCTTGTACATGTATGTATTCAATATGTAAAGCTTATCTCATGTTAATAGCTAGTTCTCAAAATCTTCACAACCTGTTATCAGATATTATTTTTTAAAGTCCCGTGTAGGTTGGTACTGTGTTTTGTTGTCTGTGATCCAGTTTGGAATGTGTTTTGTTTTCATTTTGTCACCGATTGGAATAACATATCGTCGGTAATATTTAAAAACATTTGTACATTAATCCTTCCAACACCTGCAGTTGGGTTTAAAGTGTTATCTTCACATGACAATGTGTGGAAAATACTACTATCAGTTCAAGGCCACTGCGGCATTATCAAGGACTTGTATGAAAATGCTGGTAAAATTAAACAAAAGCTGAAGGAATTTTAAACTTGAGTTTCAATTTAAAGTTGGGGACATTTATATAGTCCTCTACTGGAGAAGTTAAAAGTAAGGAGAGTGAAATTAAACAAATCAGAATTTGAAAGTAATGCATTTTGAAGGAATTGGCAAGCATGCCTTTCCTTACAGTCCTTGAGAGAAGCCAGGGCTTTGAACAAAACCCTTCTCAGCCAGTTTGCTGTATATACCTTGTATACATAATTACAGGAGTTGTGTACTTATCGACAATGTTTATAGAACCTTTTATTATTGATTACATATCTACATTTGTACAAAAAGTGGGAAACAAAACACTGGGCAAGTTATATACAAATGGTCAGAACTGAGTATCTATGGGTATGGTGATGTATACAAAGGATGCGTGAATCAGCCTTTTCTTTATACATATACTCAGCATTATATTAGTTGTTCTTTTCTGCTTTCCAACCAGAAGGGAATTTTGTGATAGTTTACACAAGTATTGATATATATTATTACTATTTTTGAAAAGAAAAAAATTAACTATAATTTCCTATTGTTTATGTCCAGGAAATTGTATGCAAGTGGAATAAAGGTGTTTCATTCAAGATAGTTGTTGTCTTTTTATTGGCACACTAAGTAGAGGGGATGGCAAGGACAGTCTGTCTGCATGGCTTGCTGTTTTTCTGTCTGTTTTATAAAGTGTAACTTTGTTTACATTGCTGTTATAGTACTGAAGTAATAAAAGTGGATAAACATGGCAAAGGAATTGTTAATGGGGACCAAAAAGGGTTGAAAAGCCTTGAGACTTTGGCTCATGTGAGCTGAAGGCTTGTTTGGGTTTTTTTTGGCCAACGTTTGATGTAATTTCTTGTGATTGCTAGTGATGAAAATAATGGACCACCATTATTAGGGCCCTGTACGAAAGTGTGGGGACCCAATAGAAATTGCGGTGTCCATCCATCAGCACTTTAGATTTCATATGACTACTGGTACTTTATTTCCGTGGGCCGATCAAGCTCAAACTTCATACAATGCTTCCTTATTGAAAGTGCTTGGTGTGGGATTGCTTTTCATTGTCAAAAGTTAAGGTTACTTACTATAAATAGAAAATCAGTTCCCATGAGGAAATTGGTGTTTGCTTTGGCCGATCTAACACAAACTTCATACAGTTCTTCTTATGGAGTGTTTGCTGGGGATTGCTTTACAATTATGAACAAAAGGCCCATGGGCATTAACGGTCACCTGAGGTCTTCAGGTCTATGGACAGTTTAGAACCTGTCCCAGCATTGTGGCAGATAGAACAAAACTGATATATGCATACTTACAAAGCTTTTATTGTTTCTAAGTTTGAAGGCTTATTGGGAGAAGTTGTTTCAACATTTTAAAGATTAAAAAAAAATTGACAGCAGCCATGCACATAGAAAATTTCTGTAGAACTGGTTTTAATTTTGTTTGGTCAGGAGCATCCTGTACTTGAATTTGTGATGAAGCATCCCTAGCTTCAATATGGTATAAATGAAGGAACAAAAGGAATTGCAGTTCAAATACAAAGCATTAATTTATTCATTTAAAACAAAAGTTATAAACCATGCAGCTGGTATCAAAAACATTCAATATTTAAGTGCCAGTGGATGTTGGAAACTTCGTCACAAGTTTATAAAACATTCAATGTACTTTTATATAAATGTCATTATATGACACCTTGGCACCTATTGGTAGTGAATGGATATCTGCTCATTAGAAAAACTGGTATTTACCAAAACAAAACTGATTTATCCATGATAAGCAAATGTCAAGTTTCATTAAGTAAGACAGTTAACCAGTTTATTTATGAAATAAAGGCAGACACACTTGTTTTGTCATCTAACAAGCCCTGACAAAGGCCTTCCATGGCCTACTAATATGTGTAGGACCGTCACAATTACCGTCAATCTGATTAAAATACAGATCTTGATTTACCACTCCAATATTTTCCTTTCATTAAGACGGAAGGTATTGGAATGGTAAATTAAGATCTGTATTTTAATCAAATTAAATTACCATATAATAAAAACAAAACATTAAAATTGTACAGTTCAATGAAGAAAGTTAACACTGGTAAAAAGTAGAACAGGTTTTTGTTCACTCCTACTACCACTGAACATTAATAGTGTAATTTAAACCAGCATTAAAACATGACCAGTCACCAGCATATTATATAGATACAAAGGAGTAGGTTTCCAACAGGAGGTAATATATGTCTATATGAAAAAGATTTTAAATATATATCTATAAAACATTAGTTGAAGTTCTGTAATTTACTTGTTGATGGATGAATATAAGTAACTTTCATTTAATAACAGAATACGCTTTGTGAAGCGGATTACTATTTCTAGATGACACAAAGCATTTCTACCTATTCATCATTTTTGTTGTAGGGTCAGTGTAAGTAATTAAACATGTAAAACCTGCCCTCAAGGACACCTGTTTGTAATTGTGATAATTTGTTTCGATTCCAAATATAATACCATTTATAGTAATTGATCCTCCCTAAAAATGCTACCTACCAGTAAAGGCCACTTTTCTCCATGACTGGCCTTCATAAACAAGATAAACTGCTTATGTAGCAATGTTATTGGACAAAGCTAATGAATCAGCATTCATGTAAAATTTCATGTACGTGTATCTATCAGGTAACTGAATGAATTGGAATATCAATATCTCATACACAGAAGTATCAGATTAGTTATTTAATGAGAAAATAATCCAATGGATATGCTAGTCTTACAACAAATTATCTAAAACTGTCCTAGTTTCCCACTATATGTGGTATGTTTCAGTGACTTCTTTACAGAATCTCATACTAACCTTCTACCACTATATTTTATAAAAACAATTTGGGTTCATGAATAATGAAACTGCAACTTAATTCTGTATTTCATGACATATAAAAGTATTGAGTACTTCTTCCTGGTCATAGTTCTGACATATTAAGGCGCTTTCACACAAGCAGTTGAAACGGCTAAACCTGCAAGAAAAACACCAGGTACAGATCAGGAAGGAGGCCGGACTGCGAAATATTTGGCTTGTGTAGTCTGAGGGTCCAGCCATACCTGTCTGAAACTAACTTGCTGAATATCATTAGTTTTCAGAATTTCTGCTTAAAAAGTAAGGTTGGTGCACTCACATATTTTTGAGAGCATTGTGTTATAAAGTATGAATGAAATGGATGGTGTCTTAATTTCAGTTAATTGATTTATGCTTGAAAGGAAATTCCAAAACTGCATTTTGAGCTTTTACATGACCAAATCTGATCACTCATACAGCACAAGAAGGATTTGAAAGAATTTGTAAAATTCCCCCTTTTAGGCCCTAACCCTCAGACACATCATTTATACTGAAGGTTCCCTTTCCCAAAGGATGTTACTGACTAAATTTGATCAAATTCCTTCTAGTTGTTTATGATTAACATAATGTACTTCTTTGTAGGAAAAACTGATGGAATGACAGTCGTACAAACTGTGATATTGCATAAGCTCAATATTCTTTTGGACAATGTAGGCTAAAAAAGGCAATATCCAAGGACTAACAGTGGAGATAACAAATAGATTTGTATTAAAATATTTGGTGATAAAATGAAATGCAAAAACATTTAGAAATTTCACAGGTGTCAGGATTTGCCTCCCCTGCTGCTTTCATTGTTTTCTTCAGAAGTCTGGGATGAAAGACTCTTCTGGGCTGCAATTTTTGCTTGCTGTGTCTGCAGAAAGTGCATAACCTCTGGGGATCTCATCAAATCCTACAATTTGATAAATACAGGTACATATTAAGTAATACTGCTACAGTATAGATCAAGGTAACTTCTTTACGCAATCTTTTTTGGGCTGCATCAAAGGAACTTTAAAGTCAAAAACCAAGATTCTAGTTCTTTGGCTATAGGACCCCCCTACCCCCTGCTACTGTAGAGGATCGCCTGCACCTTTTTGGTAGGTCAGTTAGATCGTCATGTCAAATCTACATTTTCCCACCTGTTGGAATTGGATCCTTGCTCCACTGACCGAAAAGAGGCCTGAAAAATCCGACCCCAAATAACCCAAGACTTCTCCAGACAAATCTGTTACAAGTTCTTTTCTCAGAGTAAGAAGGATTTAAGATTTGCCTCTTTCTCATTTTGGACCCAGCCTCTCTGCCCCAAGGAGGTGTCAAGTCCTCTATTAATACAAAATGGTCTTTTTACCCAAGGGTGCTCCAGGGTTAGAATCACCTTTTCTGTAGAGAAGAAGAAAGGATTCGACTCTATTTCTCCTTATTGACCTGCTTCTTTGGACCAAGCAGAGCAAGTTCTCTGTGTTAAATTAATTCTCTTCACACAAGGACGATGCGTCTTACTGATTTTTGTAAAATATCTAAATCGCAGAGAAAAAATGTTTAAGATACACTCATATTTCCTCTAATTGGTCCTGTTTTTCTACGCTTAATTAAATTACAGATGAATGAACCACCGTAGGAAAGACATACCAGGTAAGCAAACTTTTCCTTTGAACCAGATAAACTAATAAAGTATGTACACATTAGCAAATATTTCTACAGGGAATCAAAATCTCACAAATCCTATAACACTTGCCAGTAAATGTGGATCCCAATGTGAGGAAGTGCTTTCCTGTTTACTGATAAAGACAGAGTAGCATGAAATCTAATCTCAGTGAACTAGCAGTAAGCAGGACAAACATAAAATATTAATCAAAGTAAACAACTATAGAGTATATATTAGGTCTGATCTTTGAAGAAGATTAAAATAATTCATAAGGCCAATGATACAGAATGTCCCAGTGTAGTGGTATTGTCATAAAGGAAACATTACACTAGTGTCTGAACAAAACACAGCTCCACTTATTACCCAATATAGACACATGGTATCTTATTGAACTGATCTTTTGATGATGTTGAGAGTGACTTAACTTCACCACACAGCACATTTTCTGTGTGTGATGCAGTTCAAGCTCCATCATGACATACCTAACAGTCATAATTGAGGCCTAAACAAGACTTTATATGAAATTTTGCTGTATTCTGACCTTTGCCTCAGTAAGGAAAGTTATAATAACTTAGTGGTGGCAAAGTATGCTTCATTTTTCATTCAAATAAAACCTACAGAAAGGACAAAATCCCATGTCAGAAACAGATATCATTCAAAATGGTGATATTATCACAGTATTTTCCTTCAACATCTTTTATGAACAAAAAAAAATATCTTTTGAGCAAACCCTAGATATCAGTACCAGGTATGACATAATGTGTTTTTATTTTAATGTCTCACCATCTTTTTATCAGAGAGCACATCATCTAGAAGACTTGGTCGCAGACCTAACTCTCCACCTACACTAAAACACTCAGTCGACCCTGATGATTGGGAACCATCTACTTTGCCAGGTGACATGGATGGTAACATTGCATTCTCTACTCTCCCATGCTGAAACAGAGATGTTTGTAAGGAAATAAGTTACCAAATTCTACATGAATGTAAAAGGAAACAGCAATGCATGGTACTAAATTCCCTCCCTCCCCGCCCCACATAGTTAAAACAATATCTATCTAAACATAGACAATGAAAGAAAATCTTCAAGAGAGAATGAATTAACAGAAACATCTTTTTCTATTTAGAACTAATTTCCCATATATCTCCACCAAACATGCAAATCATCATTGCAATTTTCAGGCAAAAAATTAGGGAATAGAACATTTGTAATAATGAATAATGAATTTCATTTTTAACAGGAGATGAAGCTGAGAGTTAAAACGACAAAATTCATTGCCTCATCTCCAGTATATGCATAAAAACAAACATACTATCCCCATTCTAAAATAATATGTGATAAAAGTGATGTAAACATCGCAATATCGAAATTCAACTACAGTAAAGGTTATCGCCATGGATTCAGATATTTCTGACAAACTCACCTGACGTGGAGAAAAGTGAATAAGAATACGTCACAAAAACATCATTATCATACTCTCCACTAAACATTTCGATGACACATTTTAGCATGTCATTGTAATAAATTTCTCCGATGTTGATAACCTGCCTGGTCTCCATCTTTAGGCTAGTATCAGCATTCATGAATATTGGGGAGGAGATCAAAAAAAATATCCAAACAAATGATTAAAAACATGTTCCATAACTATTATTTTAGAATAAAGATTTAATCAAATATCAACCTTTGCCTTTAACAGCTCTTTTCCAGGGTTATCTTTCCTGAAATCCACAGAGAATCCACCGCTCCCTCCGAAATCAATATGGCCAGTGTCCATAGTTACACTTTGGGAATCTTCTTGTGTCGAGTGATCTGTATCCATTTCCATAACAATAATAAATATATAAAAACACAGTAGGATCCAAAGTATACAGGTATACCAGGTAAAAACCAAGGTAAAATAGTAGTCTAGTGAGATCTGGAACAGTGCTCAGAGTCCACAACACCTGTCAGTCCATCTATTAGTGTAAGTCTACCACATCTGTTAGCACCATCTCACTAGGAATGTCTTGGAATCTGAAAATAAATAAAAGAAACCTACTATGTATCTAGAGCTAAGCATTCCATCAAGTCTTAAAGCACACAAATTTTCCGGGAAACTGGCTGCTCTGACAGTCACCTGAGATAAGCAATATTGAAAATAAAGGTTAAAGGGTAAGTAGCTTTAAATTGTTATGAAAAAGAAACAGTGACATCGATGATAGAAAGCCAGTGTCAATACCTGTAAACCATTGGAAATTAAACGCTCTAAAGATTGTAGTAATTCCCCAGAGAGAAATGTGAGACAACCCATTTTGGTTAAGTACCTTTATGACACTCTCATCCATGAAGAGCATTTGATTCTACCTTATGTGGGTGTTGAGAAGATCTTTTAAATCTAGGTCAATTTGACCTCTTTTGGCCCTGCCCATTAGCACCTGGGGATCAGCCAGGATCAATATGGGCATACCATCAAGCCATCATCCTTTGCTTATAATTCTAACCAAGTTTGAAATATTTCCAAAGAAAATTAAACAAATTATGCTTTAAAATCTATTTTTGGCTATATAAGCTATATTAAACTGTACCTCCTTACGACAGGGAAATGTGAGACCATCGGGCCATGAAATTCACAGTTTTGGTAAAGCATCTTAAGACACTTCCATCTACTAAGAGGATTTGACTCTACCAGATCAGAGTGTTGAGAAGAATTTTTTTTTTAAATTTGAGTCATTTTGGCCCTGCCCCTCAGATCCCTATTGGGGTGGGTGACCATATAATTCCCTGTTTTGGTTCATCTTAAGCCAGGAAATGTTTCAGCAAAATTTCATTGAAATTGGTTCAGGGTTTTTGAGAAGAAGTTGAAAATGTTAAATGTTTACAGATGCACAACACCAGACAAAGGTGATTACAATAGGTCACCATGAGACTTTGTCTCAGGTGACCTAACAATATGAACATTGGAGTAATGGCCTGTTTTATCTTTCAGATCACATCATCTGTTCAGTAAAATTTAATGTCAATTTAATTCTTACTTCTTTCTTCCCCTTTTGGAGCCCCACCCCTAAGTCCCTAGTCTCCAATCAACTTTCTGATTTTAAGAAATGATTCTCCACTCTCCATGATGTTTCAGAATAAATTTAATTCAAATCCATTTGAACATTAAGAGCAAAATATTGACTAACTTTCCCATTTTGGGCCCCACCCACAGGTCCCTTGCGGTTGAATCAACTCTCTGAATTTCAGAAATGATAAGTCACATATGATAATGTTTCAGACAAAATTTGGTTGAAATCTATTCAGGCATTAAATAGGAGTAGCGTTTTGAAGCAAAATATTGTCTAATTTCCTCTTTTGAGACTCTGCCTCTGAGATCCTAGGGTTCAAATCAAATTTTGAATTCAAGAAATAATTCCCCAAGCTCAATGATGTTGCACATCAAATTTGGTTAATAAGAAGGAATGGCATTTTGAATCAAAATATTGACGAACTTCTCCTTTTGGAACCTTGCTCTTAGTCCCTAGGGTCCAATCATTTTTCGGAATTTAAGAAATGATTCTCTACTATCTATGATGTTTCAGAATAAATATGGTTCAAATCCATTCAAGCATTACGAAAGAGTAGCATTTTGAGACAAAATATTGACAAACTTTCTCATTTTGGCCCCACTCGCAGGTCCCTCAGAGTTGAATCAACTTTCTGAATTTCAGAAATAATAAGTGACATATGATGATGTTTCAGACAAATTTTGGTTGAAATATATCCAGGCATTAAGAAGAAGTGGAGTTTTGAAGCAAAATATTGTTTAATTTCCCGTTTTAGGACTCTAATACCAAGATATCCTAAGGGACGAATCAAATCTCTGAATTTAAGACAGAATTGCCTACCCTAACTGACAAATCAGGCCCATGCTTGTTGAAACCTGACCAGGCAAAAAGAAAGAATAGAGTTTTAAAGCTAATTTCAGCACTTTCCCCTTTCGGGCCCCATCCCTCAACACATAGGGGCTATATCAAAAATTCTGAATTGAACAAATGATAACCTTCACCCAAGGTATGAAAGAGGAGTAGGGTTTTAAAGAGAAAGTTTACGCAAGGCAGACGAAGAACAAGGCACAATGACCATAGGCCATCTTGACACTTCAGGTTAGATGATCTAAAAAGTGATTCAATTTGGATGTTATTATGATTTAGGCCCTTCATTAAAAAAAAATTAAAAATATCATAAAAAAACCCAGTAAAATGCACTTAAAACCAGGATATTGCTTATTGAAGGTAAACTAAGATTTTGAGTGGACATTTTTAAGGTATTTTCTTTTCAAATACTAGAATTCCATAAAGCTAAACAAAAAAATATGGATTACAATTTTGCTCTGTTTTTAATTATGACCTATGATTTAGCTTTACCAAGGGACCTACACCTTCTCCAGTTATATTTTAGGGACTGCTACCACCTCCTCTCTCACCATTACTTACTCTGAGGTCTACAGATTATACAAGGGACCTACACCTTCTCAAGCTCTACTTTAGGGACTGCTACCACCTCCTCTCTCACCATTACTTACCAGTCTCTGAGGTCTACAGATTATACAAGGGACCTACACCTTCTCAAGCTCTAAAGTAGGGACTGCTACCACCTCCTCTCTCACCATTACTTACCAGTCTCTGAGGTCTACAGACTATACAAGGGACCTACACCTTCTCAAGCTCTAAAGTAGGGACTGCTACCACCTCCTCTCTCACCATTACTTACCAGTCTCTGAGGTCTACAGATTATACAAGGGACCTACACCTTCTCAAGCTCTACTTTAGGGACTGCTACCACCTCCTCTCCTGCCATGAAGTCCTCCTGTTGAATTTATTTGATCATTATTCAAGTTAATATGTAAATCTGAGGTAAATGCAATATATCAGAACATATGTTTTATATGCAATTTCCATAATTTCGCAACATAGTCCCAGATTCATGAAAGAAACTTTATATTTTACAGGAAGTACCATCAACTTAAACTGCTCCTGTTAATCCATCAAACTGGCATCAAATCCTTGCTACATAAACAACTAGAAGTTTCTAAATTGATAAACTTCAGATCAGGAATATTTGTAAAACTGAGGCCAGCACTATAATGGTTACTTAAAACCTTGAAATGAAATGAAATTTCATGCTATGTCATTAAAGAACCTTCAGTTGCTCAGATTTAAGTTTTGACCTTTAATACTGGAAGACTAATGACATTTGACCTCTGCTTGTGAATACTGACACAATGTTAAATTTACAGTCGGTAACCTAGATCAAAACAATTATTCTTAAGCAAAGGTATTAAATAAGTGCTGATAAAAATATTCAAGTAAAAATTTATTGATGTTCAATTTAGCATGTCCGAATCATAGGCTGTGACATTGATCTTTGCAACTACTGTTACTGACTCTAATGCTTTTATGAAATGTACATGAATATTATTTTGGTTATAAATATTTTTGCATATCATGAGACTGTGAGTGGGTCTTACCACATCATAAATCACTTTGAGCATCAGTGAACAACTGGGACATGTAGCGACTTCTTCACCGTTTTCTAGGTCTTCCTACAAATGAACAGCACATCGATATTAAGCATATCTATATATTTATGTGTATTCCGACCGTTAGTAGTTAAATAATAGATAAGCCTCTATTGCTGGAGTCTGCAATTTTAGTACTTCTACTTCTACTTCTAAATGATAATGACCAACTTCAACAAGTTGAAGATAATGTCATGAGAGAGAAGGAGATTTACCTTAAAGAAAAAGAAAGAATATATGTATATAGATATTTCAATTTAAGGGTACAGTGAGCGGAGAGAAGTTTTGAAGGATTCAGTGGTAAGACAGGATGAGATGATATCTGATGGGATCTTATTCCACGCAGTATGTAAGTAGTAAGTTTGAGTGCAAGGTTTGCCGACTTAATATCATAAATGAGATGACATCTTCTACTGCACGAATAATGGACAGTTCTGACAGATAGAAAGGTAATATACATGATGTAATACCACTTAAAACATCCGTCAAAACAGGTGACCACAGGAGGAGCTAAATTGCAAAGTGAAGTAAAAATTAGACGCCATAAGTACCTTGGTTATTTCGAATCGATCTCCACATGGACATGGATAGTAGTAGGTTTCATTGTCTTCGTCGTATTCGAAATCTTCTATCTCTATTTCATCGTGATATATCGACATGGCCTGCGAGACTAAACGTTAAGACCTACATACGCTATTGCAATCCACATGTGGTGTGATGACATAACTACAGCATCTTTTGACTAGCGACAGTTTCGTATTTAAAACCGGATGTACGAGACTTTAAATGTTTGACGCTTGCTTTTGTAAATCGTGAAAATCTCTTACAAAACAATCACCATACTGTAAAGTTACCAAAATGCTACTCAAACTAACAAACTACTGACAAATTATCAACCATCTAGATTTTCTTTTCTTTATGAATTTTGTTAAGCAAAAGGTCTCTATATGTAAGTTCGCGTTCGACGCTCAGCTGTGATAGAAATATTTGCTTTATCTTATATAGATATATATATTTTACATCCCATAGCTTTTTAATACCGAACCACATACAAAAAATCCTAGTGTACACAGTCTTTTTTATTTACATTTTTATTTATATATATAAACTAAGTTATGCAGGAGTCTTGGTAGGTTTTTAGTAGATTGTCAACCTGGTCATGATGAAGAATTTGCTAATAAATGAAATAAATGAAAAGATTAAAGATTGTTTGCATTAGATATAAAAAATGATGTCTGGTGTAGCATCTGTCATTGTTAGATCCATTCTTATTTATTTCTCTTCTATTCATAATGACACCTAAAAATCTTGGCAAATGGTTCATGGTATTTTTTCCAGTGAGGTATGTGGCATGGAGTTCGATAACATTTTTTCAATTCTCATATAAATTCCCTGAACTTGCTTTAAGGATTACAAGAGTGAAATACCTATGCTTAAAGTTTAAGGTCTCAAATGGTGGATCCAGAGTACAAATATTTGGCCAGAAGGTATCTCAGAGAGAGAGTTGTAAGTTGCTCTCATATAAAATTACCTTGGCCTACTTCTATTTTGGCCAAATATGCTAGATCCTTCAAGAATCATATTCTCAGATTTAAGAAGACCTGCTTAACTCTGATATTTATGACTAGCGGGTGCCTCAGACTGAATGCTATGAAGTTTACTCACAGAAATGACCTTGACCTTCCTTCATGGTCACAAGGGTGTAATAATACAGGATTCTGGAGACTTATAGTCACGTTATATGGGGAGAAATTAACTTTGATGTATCTAATGCTATATTGATAATTAAGTTTTTTGACCTTGATTAATTTCAAGGTTATATATATAGAGGTCAAAAATTCTTTTTTTTTTTTTGCTTTTCTCATTAGGTTCCAGAACACTGAGGGTCATATATATTATTTTGACAAAAGGCTCCTGAAATTGCATGCTATGAAGCTTCCTCGCAAAATGACTCTGACTTAATTTCATCGTCATATAGATAAAATATGTTAAAATCTTAGAAATAAGAGTTCCAGAAAACCAGAGAATAAGGAGTACTCCTCTTTCAAAACATTGTCTTCAGGTTGGTATTGTTAACAGAATATAAAGTTCTGATAACACAGCCTGTTGAAGATCTGAGTGTAACATTTTGATGACTACACAGTCACCTTCATCAAACCAAGCATACTAACATTGACTACAAAACAATGTTACCATCTTGGTCTATAATCTGTTACCATCTTGTCACTCTATTTTCGACCTCAGTGAGCATAGAATTATAGTACAACTGAAAAAAAAAATAGTTGATTCCTTACCATATACTGCGGATGTCAGTGCTAATATGCGCCACAATGGTCATTTTTGTCTGATGAAGGTGACCATGTAGTCTGCGAAATGTCACACTCTAGCCTTCTCCTGGTTGTGTTATAAGAACTTATATTCTAAAGAGGAATCATTCTTGGTTGTATCATATAGATCTGCAATCCTTTATGAAATACAATACAGTGGCATACAGACAGTATTAACTACATTTATCACAATGTTTCATCTCCCTCCCTCTCTCTCTCTTTCTTTCACTTTCATACACTCTTCACTAGATAATTTGATGGATGACCTGGACTTAAAGTCCCTTCAGAAATGTAGTCATAAGGAGTATAAATTGGTATTGTGATGGAATCCTATGTCACCAGAATGTGATCTGATGGAGATAAGGACGGGGCAGTACAGACATGGGTTACATCATAACTCCTTCAGTAAAGTGGCAAGAACAAAACAAAATTGCAGACAATAAACAACATCCAGATCAGAATGTTGGCATGATACATACCATTTGTTATAGATTATAGGGAGGAACAGGTTGTTGAAGTAAATAGTAAAACCTGATAATTATTCAGCATTACACAGCCATATTTTTATTCATGTTTACAACTGTATAGGAAATGCTGTATCTTGATTTTTAAAACATGTATTTCAATATAAAAAAAAGAAAACTGAAACAAAACAAAACAGAACCAATCAAGTTTTAATTCTATTTTATTATTATTTTCAAAACAGAACATCTGCATTCACAGAAATTTGATGCTATTATCTTATATAATAAGATATAATCAAGAAATAATCAACATGTGCTGTGTAGGAGTGTATTATGGGTGATGATACAAAATGCATGAAAATTGTAATTTCTATATTTTGTATCTTTATTCCTCAGCAACACATTCCCTTATAATATGCATACTTCTTTATTTATAAATTAAGCTCTGCTTGATTTATTAGATGTATGACTTAAATATCAACTACAGACCATGATCTGGGACATGTACATGATAGAGCTGTTGTCCAACAACCCATTGATTGTTGTTCATTTTAAACCTTGTAATATTGCTAACACAGTCCATACAATGACCTTATACTTCCAATTCATCAATCTTGAACAAAAATTAGTGTAAATCACACCAAACATAATTATAAACCAACCTACAATAATCCGTCAGATACCATAGGATCTAGCCTTCTGTTACATCAAATGACAGAAACTGTAGGATCTAGCCTTCTGTTACATCAAATGACAGAAACTACAGGATCTAGCCTTCTGTTACATCAAATGACAGAAACTACAGGATCTAGCCTTCTGTTACATCAAACGACAGAAACTGTAGGATCTAGCCTTCTGTTACATCAAACGACAGAAACTGTAGGATCTAGCTTTATGTTACATCAAATGACAGAAACTACAGGATCTAGCCTACCATTACATCAAATGACAGAAACCACAGGATCTTGCCTTCAATTACATCAAATGACAGAAACTACAGGATCTAGCCTTCTGTTACATCAAATGACAGAAACTACAGGATCTTGCCTACCATTACATTGAACAACAGAAACTGCAGGATCTAGCCTTCTGTTACATCAAATGACAGAAACTACAGGATCTTGCCTTCAATTACATCAAATGACAGAAACTGCAGGATCTAGCCTTCTTTTACATCAAATGACAGAAACTACAGGATCTTGCCTTCAATTACATCAAATGACAGAAACTACAGGATCTTGCCTTCTGTTACATCAAACGACAGAAACTACAGGATCTTGCCTTCTGTTACATTGAACAACAGAAACTGCAGGATCTAGCCTTCTGTTACATCAAATGACAGAAACTACAGGATCTAGCCTTCTGTTACATCAAACGACAGAAACTACAGGATCTTGCCTACCATTACATTGAACAACAGAAACTGCAGGATCTAGCATTCTGTTACATCAAATGACAGAAACTACAGGATCTAGCCTTCTGTTACATCAAATGACAGAAACTGCAGGATCTAGCCTTCAATTACATCAAACGACAGAAACTGCAGGATCTAGCCTTCCTTTACATGAAATGACAGAATCTATATGATATCTCCTTCTGTCATTAATAAAGTTTTACACATGTAATTCAACCATTAAAAGATATATCACTCAAATCAATTGCAAATGCTGCAATATCATACTTAAAATCTGAGCATCAAAGTAAATAATTACAAAAATCTTCACATCATAGGCCATGTAACAAGAGTCCCAAAAGGCTGCATCACTCACTTGCTATATATATGTAAGCTGGCACAGCTACTACTCTTATTCAGTAACATATGCATTAGGATTCTTTCCTCATTTTGAACTTCATTTCGCTGAGGACAGCTACCTGCAGGACAACATCCTAAATTATATGAATATTCCCATACCCTAATAGAATACAGGATGTTTTCATGGTGTCTGAGATTCAAAGATGTCCTTTATGTGGAGAAATCAATCTTTTCTATGTGAAGACCATGGGATTAAGTACTTAGGAATGGAAGCAGAGTCAGTGGAAGTAGCATGACTGTTCCGCTCTTCATATCCAGCGAGTACCATGCGACTTTATGTTGTGAATCTCAATCGTTTTAGGTTGTTCCTGTTCACTTACTTTGATTTGATATGATTCATATTTAACGGCTTATCAACAGCCAGGGTAATTTTTTAGCAAACTACAGGAAATAACAGAAAGCTACTAGAAGTATTTTCTTAATGAAATATTTTAAAGTTAAAGCAAAAAGACAGTGTATGGTATATTAAATAACAATATTTAAAACATGTGTTTTGTTCAATACAACAAGAAATAGAAAATCAGCTGGTCTAGTCCTAACAAGTAAGGTTTATATTTTGTTTAACAATTAATCTCTTTAATGAAATTAAGCATCTCCAATTCCAAAGAGGTTAAAGCTTTTCCATATCTGAGACCAAGGAAATATTTTGTATAAATTTGTAAAAAAAAATCGGAGTGGTCAATTAAAACATGTTCCATTGTAAGCAAAGTCAGATGCATAACAAACAGGTGGGTCTTCACCCCATAAAAAAGGGAATGAGTCAGATATGTCTGCCCTACTCAGAGCAGAGAATGGACACCTTCCTATCTGCAGTTTGCCTATTTACGTAGGAGGGTGCTCCTATACCTTGCTGACCACTATTGTATAAGACACAGTAGAGTATGTCTTGTGGAACAGAGTTCTTGACCCAATGTATAACAGGGCACTGCTCATGTCTTAATTCATTTGTTATATATACAAAAACCTGGTATACTGATATGTCTTAATTTGTAGAACATTTACTGCCAAAATATGTCTTAACTTATAGAAAATGTACTATCTAAATAGGTCTTAATTTATAGATCATGTGCTACCTTCCAGCAGGACATGTATGACTGAAATGAGTCCTAATTTATAGAACATATACAACCTAAATATGTCTTCATTTATAGAACATGTACGACCTACATGAAGAACATGTACGACCAGAATGTGTCCTAGTTTGTAGAACATGTACAACCTAGATATGTCTTATTTGTAGAACAAGGAAATCCTTATATCTATTCATTTGTAGAAAAAGTAAATCTTTATATCTATTCATTTGAATAACATATAAATCCTTACATGTATTAATTTGCACAGCATGTACTAACTTTTATATTTTTGTTTGTGGAATCTACATGGAACAACAGGTTTTGGTGCTATATAACACCTTCATGACTTACCATTAAAATTCTTACTTTATCGCCAATGATTACAAATATATTTTACAAATATATTACTACATTTGTTTAACTGCAGAAGGTAGATTGATAACAATAGATTAAATATATCTACAGTGTTTAACTGTAATTCTAATATCCTCACTCCCAATCATGGCTGAAACTTATCACACACTAGTATTTTTATCACAAAAATAAATGTTGACACAATAAAAACAAGTAAATCCAAATACTTCCATTGTTAAAAATCACTTTTTATCAGTATAATCACACAAAAAACAAACATAGGTAGTGTACATCATAACAATATTCAAAAGTGCCAACAAAAAGCAAGCTTTTCCTTGTTGAAAAGCACTTATCATTTCATTCAATGAATCTCTCACATTACTTTGACCTGTCCCTGGATAATGATATACAAAAGAGTTACAGATAGTTCAACTGAATGTGGATTTCTCAAATTTGGCAAAACTATAACGTTTATCATTCACATGCCAGTATGTCACCAGAAAAAATTAGTCTCAGTATATAATATATACAAATGTATTTGGCAAGATTCAATTAATTCATAAACAGGTTTTTTTTCAGGTGTAATATTGACCAGTTTGTGTTAAGTGTATATTGCACCTGTCTGACAAAAGAATTTATATTACCTCCACCATACAAGGGATAAATATATCCACTGATCAGGGATATTGTTATAAACCTGGTGTATAATCAGGTCCAGTAAATTAAAGCTGTTAGTGGTATATGTATATATTGGTTATGAGAAACAGTGATCAGCAACATGTAATAAAACATGGTAATAGATAAAACAACAAATTATTAAAATTAATTTTCAAATGAAAAAAAAAAGTTTTCCAAGATAAAATATGACCACAAGTTTCTTCCTTGATTACATGATTTGACCTGACATCAGTGACAACATTATAAACACACAAACACATTTGTTCACCACCAAAATTATCTTAGTAGGTACCTTTTGATCAATAAATCATTTTGAGCATCACAATATATGACAAAAATTAAAATATCACATCACTCTATTTCATAGATAATTGTGTTCAAAGTTTTCATTTATCAAACTTTCAATAATATATTGATTGTATACATATGATACATACATCATAGTATACCCCTATGAACATTCATAGAAATCCTTGGTCCCCTTGCAGATATACATAAAAATAATTCAAATGAAAGTGTCTCTAGTATTTCCAATTAATAAAATTGGAACATGATATAACACAGGCCTTATAAGTCTTATGACTACAAACTTGGTCTTATAATAAATCTATTGACAATTACAAACTTGGCTTAATACACCAACAAGCCTAGCATTTTGGCAATTACAATCTATCACATTATGCTAAGTTATTCTGTTTTTTGGGATTTTGACCATAACATTCACCGATTTTATACAACACTGGCATAGTTTGGCTCAGTCACATTATTATTAATTTATGCCTGGAACAATCAGGCAATTGTAATATAAATCAGACATGAAATATTTCCTTATTTTCTAATAAAAGCAAAACAAAATGTTACTACATTCAACTTAATAAGCCCATCTACCTCTGCTCCTGATTATACAGTAATAATTATGGGTACACAAATTTTCTCATTGAAATCATTTGGCAAAACATGACAATGATCTAATTTAATTATGCCAAATTAAGTATGTTTACTGATTTTTTTCCATTAAAATGTCTATAAGATGGTATTTCTGATTTGTGAAATTTTATAAAGCATCTATAAAAGAAATTAGCTTTTCATCAAGTCACTTTGATTTTTTAAGATTCGGATTGAAAAGCCAGTTAAAATTACAACAAAGTTTGACAACTTTCAAAGAAAAACCTACCCTAGTATATCCTTTATCAATAATTAAAAACAGCAAACCATTAGGTCTTATGTATCAGTCTCTTATACATTAGATTCCTTATCTTCAATTTCCATTAAGTGTTCATCAGATCTACAAGGTTTGAATTGGATGGAACCTTTGTGGGCAAGTTCTATAGGAGATTGGTCCTCAGAAGACGCCATAAAAGCTTCAACACTCTCCTTTAAAGTCCTCACATCTTTAGGAAGCTGTGATTCCGCTCCTAAGGAAGTTGCTCCTTGAGAACTCATTTCATTCACAATGTCCACGGAGTCATTAGGAAATGTGGAAGTAGAGCCCCCTCCTACAGGAAGTAAAGGTGTGGTGGAAAATTCCTGGGGGTTCCCACTGGGACTACTACTAGGTAAGGACAAAGAGGAAGTTGAAGTAAACAGCCGACTCAGTTTTTCCACACTGGTTGATAAAGCTCCTACAGCATTATTCTTTGTCTGTTTTTCTGTTTTGCTCTTTAGAAGAGGATCTCTCTCCTTTTTTGGACTTTCTATTGACGTAAAATCAGAATCATCCAGTCCGAACTTGACTGGAGAGTTGAGGAGTAAACAATCATCATCCTCCGACTCATCCAGGTCCTCCTCTGTGAAATGCATCATGGCCTTGTGTAGGAGACCAGTTTCAAACTCCATCTGCTTTGCCAGACTGTCAGAACGGAGCATGGATTTACTTCTATTAGACTCGTCGCTATCCACAGAAGGTGTATATCGTTGACTTTGTCCGCTGTACACAGAGTCCTGTTTAACTAGAGAAGGACGATATGACCCCATACCTCGCTGGTCCTGATAGCCAGAAAATATCACATCATCACTGATTTGAACTGATTTTTTCCTTTCCATAGAGTGTGGGTTAGATTTCCGTCTGACACTTTCACCTGTGACTAGTATTGATTTCTTTTTCCCATTTTGATACGAAGTCTCACTGGGTATTTTCCCTACACCTGTTTCCATGGTTTCCTGATCTCCGCTTGTCTTGTCCAGATTATGTTCTGGACTGACATCTCTACTGGAAGACATCGCCTCTAACTGTTCTTCTTCTAATATTAACAATTCTTCCTCTCTCTTTCTCATTGAAATAACAGCAGATTTAAAAAGTTGCCAATCTCCAAATTTCATGTGGATGACCTTACCCAGTTCTCCAAGGTCACAGGTTGACAGGACCAGTCCACAAATGTTGTTGTCATGAATACAGGCCTGATATTGTTCAAACATAGAATTGTTTATTCCTTTGATCTTTGACACCATATCACAGATTTCCTCTACACCAAGCACGCTCAGCTTTTTCTCCTCAAAGCCCTGAAAGTAGGAAAACAATGTGTTTGTAGAATGTTTTAGATACTGTAATCTTTTATCGGGTTTTTATTGATCAATTTTATAATACTAAATGTTTTCTGTCTTTTCATCTGTGGAATTCTTCAAAAGTTGCAACGAAAGTTTCATTTTTCAGTGTAAAGTAATACAGTCACTAGATTTGGTACAGACAAATTGATGGCTAATATAGCACCATGACCAAGAGCTAAAAATGTCTCATCTTGAGATTCAATTTAGCTTAATAGATAATTAATTTGAAACATTTCCCCTACACCCTAAGAATTCATACAGCACTGAATTTCTCTTTTCCTGGGATTTATACAGCAGTGATTCCTTCTCCTGCGATGATTTTCAGCACTAAATGAACTTCTTTCAGATTACATGTTTCTCTGGTCAAGAGCAGCTTCATCACAAGTGAAATTTTATTATCTTCTTTGTGACTGAAGAAGTGCACTTTAAAGATCATTGGTTGCCAACTTACCACAGCAAAGAAATTTGTAGCATCAGTAGGTATAAAAAAGATCACCTCTACCCACAGCAAATTCAAACCTTTTATATATATTAACATCATTTGTCCTTTATGAATTTCTTCAGTTGTTTCCATAATCAAACAGTATCAAAAAACATAGATGCACCTACCTCCACTTTGACTTGCATTGTTGAATCAACACTGTCCATGCCCATACTCTGTGAGTTGAAAGTATAGGGATTCTGACATGGATGGGTGTAAGACATCCCCATGTAGGCCTGTGGGTGAAACATGCCTGGATAAGAAGGGTACGGCATAGGTGCCATGGGCAGACTTCTGTCCATTGAGTAGGATGACAACCCTGCTCCGGGGGCCCGTGATACTTGTCGTCGCTGCAGATGTTGCGAGTCTTGTCCACGGACTGGGCCTGCCAACGGCCCTCCCATTGGTCCCATCATTGGGCCAGCCATAGGGCCAGGTTTGGGGTTATTCACAGGGAATGGGCTTCCTTGCCCATACAGATCCGTATTCTTTTGCATCTCTGTATAAATCAGTTTAGAAATAATTAAGTAAACTTTTCTTACAAACACTTGTAACAAACTGTTGCTGAACTATATTCTTTGCTGAACTATATTCTTGGTGTGAGAGGAAAATCAAAGTTAATCTATACATATATACTGAAGGCTTTATTGGTAAAATGAAAACAGAGGATATTACAGAACATGTTTATAAATATATACACATCTCCACTTCATCACCATGATATTCATTTAAGAAGTTGTTCTAAAATTTTGGTGTAATTTCCATGAATGGTTAAAACCATGATATTTTACCACAATGCACTGAACATTAGAAGTTTACCTCTGATAAGTTTACGAAGATAAGGATCCAGGTTGATGGCACAAGGAAGAAACTTTTTGAGGTCACCGACATTGAGGATTGGACTACTTCTGGATCCTGTTCTCAGGAAAGTTTCAAGTTTACGAGCGTTACGGTCAATCTCCAACAGGGGCTCAATATCCCGAGACGATGGCATACTGTCTACCACTCTGTGAAATAACCAAATACAAGTATTAATTAATAATAAGACAAGAGGCTCAAGGGTTTAGAGGTCAACTAAGATCTATCAATGCTTTATTGTTGTTCTTTTAACATGTCATAGAAGTAATCTTGAACTACGCTGTACATGTAATGCAAAGGTAAAATGTACATAACTTTACCTCCCCTCCCCTGTTGAGGATTCAAACCATGTTTGAATTGAAAGAATTAAGTACAAAGATATAGTTTTTACAATATATTCTATAGTAAACTTTCTCTTCAATTGGTTCAAGCTTTTTCCTGAAGAAGTTGAAAATGTCAATTCTTCAAGAAGAACAATGCATGACACCAGATGAAAGACGATAATTGCAACAGGTCATCATGAGACTTTGTTTCAGATGACTTAAAAATAAAACTAATAGGACATGACAGCCAAGAGGAACTAATTATAATGGCTGGAAAGTCAGCACCAGTTGCCTCTCAAAACCAAACAATGGTTTTTTGGTAACTTGTTATCGTTTTTCAAATCAGAATTGCACAGGTATAACTAGAATTCATCTAGTCCTTCTAAAGACAAAGTGGTCGTAAAATGTTCATAGGAGAACTGACAGACAATGATCAGAAACAAAGGATAATTGGAACAACCAAATTTCTGATATCGATGTGCTTTAAAGTTTAGATGCTTTAACTTAGTTAGTATAAATGACCTGTTGGAGATTACACAATAGGCTAGGTCAAAACATGGAAAATCTTACCTGTCTTGTGACATTTGACAAGACAGGATTGTGTGAAAGATTTGTTGTGAATTTGATATCAAAGAACTTTATGAATGGTAATTACAAATGATATTTGATATTACTATACATTACAGGTTTACAAAATACATGTTACTTGAATTTACAGGATTTCATGCATGTGAATTGATTGTGAATGATAAAACAAAATTTGATGAATTGAGATCAATTGCAGAAGTAGCTATTATGTGACTGTCTTAGTGGAGATAACATTTCTCTTTTGTTACCTTTCATAAAGTGAGGCCAGAGTTACTGAAGAGTCCAGCATTTCATTTTCCTCAAAGTAGAGAATGATCCAGGACACCCTGTAGGGCCACTGCTCTATCAGATTGATCCAGGCAGCCAGACGATGCCAGTTAAAGTCTATGTTGTAGGCACGCAACAGTCGACCTACAAATATACCAAATATATTTCACTTTTATTCAAATTAACTAACAAGTTTTTTTTCAGTACCAAAATATCAAAATGAATTCTTAATAGGCACCTTGAAAATGATTTTATTCCAGAATTCAGATTTTTAAATGTATACCTCAATCAGAAATATTTTGTGAAGCTAAATCTAATTCTGTAATATTCCATAGCTTTCACAATTTTATATGGCATGTTGTGAAAAAACATTGTAACCTGGTAGTTAAAGTACACTTCTGACGATTCCAAGTAGCATACATTTGGAAGGCCATGTACTTTTCCATTACTTGTGTTTCAACCCTCTAAGATAATGTGACTCTTCAGATTCAAACAGTACCACTGTGATTCTGTCTGACTTCTAGCAATGTCATCCTCCAGCAAAACACTAATCTGGTTTTTCCCACTATCCAGTCACCACTGATCAAACAAATAATTTGATAACTGATGATCAACTATAGGGTTAAGAATCACAAACAACAGACCACAAATTTCTATTTAACATTACATGTACATGTTAAGTCTCGTTGATGTGAGATCACAGTTTAAGACACCTCTTACCTGTAACAGCCACTATGTTCATGAGGCGCCTCATGCTGCGAGGGTTGATGTCACTGAAATAGTCATTCTTGGTCAGGGAGTGGGTTATATCTAGATTAGAAGCATGACTACCAGTATCCTTGCGTGAAGATGTTCGTTTTTTACCATCTAGACTGGAGTAGGATGACCAGACAGAATCTTGATGCTGATAAGTCTGTAAAATGAATCTTACATTATATCAAAATTGTACTGACATTTTGTTCCTAAAAGTATACCTTATCTCTTAAAAAGAAAACGCAATGACACATGTTGTGTTAAGGTTTGGATCTCCTAGTGGCTGATAAGCAGCTTATTTTTAATACAGATGAGTTTTACATAACTTCAAAGAATAAGCAACCAGGTTATACATTATAAATTTCAGACAACTTTTTAAAAAATTGACAACCTGTACAACTTTATCGCTCCCTTTACCTATTGTAGGAGCAAATGACACTTTCTCTTGAAACTATTCCTCAAATATGTGCTTACCTAATGCCTAGAAGACAGATTTAATTCTATTCTTTAGGTGACTTTGCCCTTACCTTATCCCTAGAAGGTGATTTTAATCCTATTCCTCAGACAACTTCACCTCTACCTTATTCCTACTAGGTAGATTTAATCCTATTCCTCAGACAACTGCACGTTTACCCTATTCCTAGTAGGTTGATTTAATCATGTTCCTCAAACAACTTCAAGTTTACCCTATTCCTAGTAGGTGGATTTTATCTTATTCCTTATACAATTTTGCCCATACCTTAGTCCTAGTTGGTGACTCATCCCCAGGGGTGGGGCTCCCTGCCATGTCCTGTTTTTCTATTTTGATGCCCTGACTCTGCAGGTAGAACGGAAGGTGTACCGAGTTCCTAAGGTAGTCAAACCCATTAACATTCGAGTCATGGATGTCCAGCTTTAGGTTGGACTCGATGCCTTTTATGATAATGTTCGGATCCACAGCAAGAATGGTGATGAAAGGTGAATCGTCATCCGAGAACAAGGCTTTAATGATGTCAAGCACCTGGCAAAATAGGAGAGTTCAATGGACATTTTTTGTTATTTTGTGAGGGTTTTCTTTTCTAACAATAATATAATTTTATTTTTGGTGATGATATTTACTCCATTATCACCTTATTAAGGAGGACTTACATTATCGATAAAACATACTACACCATCGTGGAAATCAGACAAAGCTTAGGGCACAGAATTAATATTTCAAATAGGACCTTGGTAATCATGTTCATTGTTTATTTGTATAAAAAACATTACTGGGAAGGTCTTAGGAGTTTGATTTTTTAGTAACAATTTTTACCTGTAAGACCTTGTCCTGCTCACAGCTGTCCAGCCCATCAACAATGACCACCAGGCGAGTTTGACCACTCGTAAACTTATCCATACAAGTTACCATTTTAGTCATCAGCGTCACTTCATACTTGAGTTTCTGCATCAGGCCATCCATCTTGATAACATCTATTTTGTCAGCAGCTTGGTTGATTCTTGACTGTTGTGAGCGGAGCAGTGCTAACAGAGCTTTCCCCCATGTGAAAGCATTACTGATGATTGACAGACCCACAATAGAGGCAAACGTTATCATGGCAGCATTGACAGACACTGTGTTGTCATTGTCGATGCCATTTGTAACCAGCAGTGTGACGCCTACACCTATACACAGCATCACGATGATCACAATCAGAAAGTACGGAATACAACACAGCGACTTGAACCCACAGAAAACATACCAGAGCAACTTAAACCTTTCTGTATATATCAAACGTATATATATCATGCAACAGCTGTATATATCTGTTTGACAGTATATACACTGTGTTGCAACTTAAACCTTTCTGTATATATCTGTTTGTCAGACAAGACAAGATGCCATAGCAACTTAAACCTTTCTGTATATATCTGTTTGTCAGACAAGACAAGACAATAGACCATAGCAACTTAAACCTTTCTGTATATATCTGTTTGTCAGATAACCTTTCTGTATCTGTTTGTCAGACTTAAACCTTTCTGTATATACCAGCAGAAAATAGACCATAGCAACTTAAACCTTTCTGTATATACCTATACACAGCATCACGATGATCACAATCAGAAAGTACGACAAGACAAGAAAATAGACCATAGACCTTTCTGTATATACAACACAGCATAGCAACTTAAACCTCAGACAAGACAAGAAAATAGACCATAGCAACTTAAACCTTTCTGTATATATCTGTTTGTAAAACAAGAAGAAAATAGACCATAGCAACTTAAACCTTTCTGTATATATCTGTTTGTCAGACAAGACAAGAAAATAGACCATAGCAACTTAAACCTTTCTGTATATATCTGTTTGTCAGACAAGACAAGAAAATAGACCATAGCAACTTAAACCTTTCTGTATATATCTGTTTGTCAGACAAGACAAGAAAATAGACCATAGCAACTTAAATCCCCAGTATATATTTCTGTCAAACAAGACAAGAGATCTCACAAAGCCTGTATTGCTCATCTGGCTTTATTTCCCTGAAATTGCGATATCCAAACCAAAGGCAAAGGAATTCTAAAGGTTAATATTTGTTTCCCCTATTGGCCCCACCCCTGTGCCTCCAGAGGGTCAGACAAACCATCTATACAATATCCAATTATGTAGAAAACCAGCATTCTTTGTACAAAATACTGTGACTGCTGCTTTTCCTAAGTCCTCTAATGGAAATATGTCATGTCCATTAACTAAAAAGAAGTATTGAAGAAGTTCTGTTACAACACCATACACAGAACAACAAAATAAAACAGTTCAATATTATGATTCTTAACATTACTTAAAATATCAGGGGATTTTTTTTAAACCTTTACTCTTTTACCTGATGAACAATTGACACTGGCCTGTAAAATATTGATATAAACTATGTGATGAATTGATTTAACTTACTGCCGGTGCTTGGTTTGAACACCCTGAAGAGCCTTGCCACAAGAACTCCATATTCCTGCTCCAGAACATCACCTAGTGTGCCCACCATGGCTGCCAAAGACTTCTCTCCTCCCACACTCACCAGACGAGTGCTCTCAGAAAACAGAAACCTGTATACACAAAATAATTTCTTACAGTATAGGTCTCCACCTACATATTTGTTGTGCGTTGATATTCTCATGTAAATTGGTGTAAGAATATTTGCCATTTTTGTGTGAAAGGGCTGTTTATTAAACAGGTTGGGGTTTTTTTGTGTTTTCACTGTTATGTCCTTCACTTCTTTACTTTGACAGTTGTTCCTTTGATCGGTAACATCTTCAACATTTAAATGTCAAATTTATTTATCCTGATTCAGATCTAGATAGATTGTATAAATTTATTTTGTATATGTATACATTACACATGTACATTGATAATACAAACAACTAGTTTTTACACAGGTACTTTTATACACCATCATAACCCATGTTTGTATATCCTTATGGTAATTCTTTTGATTTATTTCATGTATATATTTAATTTAAATTCTGACTGAAGCCATGAACACATGGACATATCACTATCCATGTTGATACAATCAAATTCAAAAATGGAAAGGTACAAATCATTTACAGGTGTAACCCATAAATTTGATGAAGGATATTTAAACAAAATGACATATGAAAATAAACTAGTTCTTGTTTACAAACACTCAAATCAAGTGACAAACAAGCCCAAATACAACTAGATCTTAAATATCCCCAAAGTACTGTACAGTCCAGTATGAGCACATTAGAGACAAAGACAGACACAAAGACTGGTGAGTATTCATACAGTGGTTGGGAGGCAATATGAGTTGATGAGGAGGACTTACTTGACTGTGTGGCTGTCATTGACTTGCTGTGGCCACTGAGCAGGAATACAGAACAACACTTTAAGTAGTAGTTTGAGTAGTAACATCTTCCTCCCCAATGAAAGACTGATCAACACTGCAACGTGTGTTTCATACTTCTGGGCAAGATGGTACACCATACCTACAGAATACATGCACTGGTATATAAATTGTACATTTTTGAAAGATGTTACCAGTTACCTTAAAAACAGAGAGATGTGACACATTGACATTCCCAAAAAAGGGATAATTAAGTCATAAATTAGTACAAATAACAAGGATATAAAGACCAAGGTACATGTACTTAAAGTCTACATAGACATGTCAGCACGTAGGATGTAATTTAAACAATGCACTATGCAGCGGATCCATGTGTGTTGTGCCTCCTCTTTTCTACTTTTATTTTTTTTATTTATATGTATACTTAGATTAAGGTAATCACATATACCTACTATAGAGGTAACAAAAAGAAAACAAACTCTAAGTGATATACCTACCCAGACCAAAGTACTGTAAAGGGAACAAACCAAGGCAGACCCCTAGGCCATACTGCCAGCCCCAGATCAGAGCAATGGTGACACCAATGATAGTATTTAGGATAAAAACAAGGAAGAATAAAGCCCAACAGAACGGAGTGAAGTGTTCCTCTACACTCTCCTTAGTAAATGACTTCATCTCACCTGCAATATCAAAAAGTATATCAAGTCCAGCCTTCCCTAGATAGCATGCCATTCTGACAATCTTTATGTTTGGTCACAGAAAATTTCTGATAATATACATGCATAATATATGGCCATCTGGAGTAAGATAACAAAGTAGTAAAGCATCACAGTTTTAAAATAGAGTAATGTTAGGATTTTTATCCTGAAATACTCGGTTTTTCATTAACATGCCGTTTTTTTGTTTTTTTTAACGGTAATTTTCATTGAAAAAAAATAGTCCTCACTTTCATTTATAACTTAATAATTAATTAAGATGTGTTGGTAAGTAGGTATATATGACAGTCTAAAACAAGGGAGAAGTCCTTTACTTACTCTGTAACTTGCCAAGAAGGAAGGACTTTCCACTGCCCCACTTAGCGTACAGTCCCACGGTAATAGGTGTGTTTAGGGCTGGGTCACTAAGTATATCAGCCAGGGCACTTGTGTAAATGTTGTAACCCAACAAGTTTTCACCATCATTAGCGTTCAGGTTTCCTAAACAAAGTACATCCATATCAAAGATTAGTGTGACTTAAACTTCAACAACGCTGTGATAATTGACATGCAATAATGTATATATATCTGTAAGAGGAAGGAACATTTCAAAGGATCTGTTACAATAAATACTACATTGTACATATATATCTAAGAATCTGTTACAGTAAGTTACATGTAGCTTTTCTGAAATCTGTTACATTAAAAAATACATATATATCCTGGAATCTATTACAGTAAGTAATATATATATATATATCCTGGAATCTGTTACAGAAAGTAATATATATATATATCCTGGAATCTATTACAGAAAGTAATATATATATATATCCTGGAATCTATTACAGTAAGTAATATATATATATATATCCTGGAATCTGTTACAGAAAGTAATATATATATTTCCTGGAATCTATTACAGAAAGTAATAAATATTTTCAAGGATCTGTTTCAGTCAACATTCTTTTCAACTTCTATTCAGATAGATAAAAACTAAATGAAATAAGTTTTGATAGAAAAAGTCCCAATGTTAAATAAGCAAATGATATTTGTTCAATTCTTGCTTTTAGTTAAGTGTACATACGATGGCCAAATATCTGAGTGAGGATACTCTTCTGGTGGTAAGCATCAATGTTGTAGGGTGTGTCTCCAGATTTGTTTGAGCGGTATAACAGGCGACCATTACGAGGGTTTCTCAACAGAAGCTCTGTGATACGTTTACTCCTCGCACGCAGTGAGATGTGTAAAGCATTGTCACCTCTCTGAAAGAAGGATTTGGTTATGTACAATATCTGTCAACTTTTCTACAAGATGATTATGATTTTGTAAAATTAAATGTCCAGTTGGATATTTTCACATGGTCATTATGACAAGCATTGACTTAACATATATACCTGTATACTTATTACAGCAGAATGTTCAGAACCCTGATTTTACCTATTTTATCCCAACTACTCACTAACTCAGCAACACTTGTACTGTAACTGTTCTAAATGATGAAATGAGTTACCTTGACATCTGATAAAACTTTGGTTTGTTTGAGGTTTAACTTCCTTACAGAAAAATTTTAGTTACCTTGTCCACAGCTGACACCTTTGCACCCTTGTCAAGTAAAAGACGGACACACTGTTCATTTCTGTTCCTCACAGCTCGCATCAGGGGTGTATCCTCATCCTGCATAGAAAATCAGCCAAGACATTATGACTCAGAACCCAACATCAATGGACAAATGAGAAAGTAAAAGGTACAAGGTATTCAACATATTTTATTTTTTCGTAACTCAAAATACAACATTCTAATAGAAATCTAGAGCTCTATCTCTGACATGCATTCCATGCTCGGCACCATGATCATGAGATTTTGTGAAGGGATGAAGTACACTATTGGATATGATCCTTGTTAATTTCCAATCTGTCATATGCTAAATTGCTAATGTAGAAGGCCTAGAAAACTTAAAAAATACCAGTAGCATGATTTAATCTCTAGAATTTTAATACAAAGCAGCTCTAACATTTCATACAAAGATCAAACAAAAGATCAGAAATTAAAATTACCAACGATTTCCTAACAATAGTGCCAAGAGAGACAGATTAATATTTTGTAAAAAATATTTCTTTTCACTTAATACAATTATTTTATCAGATATCTGAAAACTTCAAAACAGGAAAACTCAATACATCAATCTCACAGACAAATTCAAATTTTCAACAGATCCATGGTGGAACTTGACATCATTGTTTGATCTTTATTTATTCTTTAAAAGTTGGACCTTTCCCTCATTTTCCTCCTTTTGACCAATGTCATTCCTCTCAAGTAATAGTGATAAAAAAATTTAATGTCTAATCTTGGATGGTAGTGTGTTATTGATTTTATTTTCTGGATCAAAATCAAAACGGTACAACTATGGATTAATGATACAACTAGGGGAATCTACATATGAAATCTGAGAAAGATCCATTCAGTACTTTCATGTCAATCATTCTGTTTTCCTGATCAGATTAAAAAATGAAAAGGCACAACTAGGGACCAAGGTGAACTTACCCATCAAGATTCAGGAATACCCCTCCAGAGCTTTTAAAAAACTTTGGATAATAAACTTATATTATCAAAATCCAAGATGGCTGCCATTTTGTTTTGACGAGTCATAACTGATTGGACACAAGGGACCAAGGGGACCTATATGTCAAGTTTCAGATATATCTATCAAGTACTTCTCATAACATACAATAAACAAGGCTTGTTTACAGATGCTGGACCACACACATAGAACAATTTGTCACAGAGCATTACAGTAAGATATACAAAGAAAGAAATATTTAACACTAAGTCAGATGACAAACCGAGAGGATTTTGATTCACTTACAGCCTGATTCAATAAATTACCTTTGTACTGATTTCAAGGTCAGGATTGTTATCAAGCAATGATCGAAGGATGTCCACTTGACCTTTCTCTACTGCCCAATAGGTCGCTGTCTTTCCTTCCTAGAAACAAATAGCTTCACATTGGTATCATCAATATTTCCAACAAAGTAATAAACCCACTATATCTGCATGTGTAAAGTGTTTGCAACATAATTCAGACTTCCATCATTCAGATCTTTTTCATATTCATACACTGTGAAGGAGTTAATTAATCTATGCCTATTAATGAATCATCATCTATCAACTTTGATTTTATGAAAAATTAACTGCTTATTTTAAAGAGTATATTTCTAAAATGTAAATACACAGTCTAAAAATGACCCAGAACAATGTATAAAGAGAGCTACACACCGCACCCTGGACATCTACATCAGCATACTTGTTCAGAAGGGCTCGTACAATCTCCACATGACCACTCTTTACTGCATGGATCAAGATGGTGTCTCCAGCCTGCAAGTGAGAAGTTTTGTTTGGTTTAATAATCAATAAAGCAGGAAGATATTAGGAAGATTCACTATAATATCTCAGGGTAAAATAAATAAGTCACAGACTTAAAAGACAGTCTGAATCAGAACTACATATAGCACAACTACATCTTTGTTTAAGTATCTATCAGCAATTCTGTTGAGTAAGTTGTTTTTTCCTAAAAATAACATCACATTAAGTCAAATTGTCTACACTGAAATACATAAGAATTTGACATATACGTTTGTAAGAGGAAGGAGAAAAAAGGTTTTGACGAACGGTCACTTACTCTGTCTGCAATGTTAACATAAGCACCCTTAGCCAGCAAGTCATGTGCTGTCTCTATATAGCCCTCCTTGGCTGCAATGGTCAGTGCTGAAAAGCCATCCTTTAAAACAAATGATTTAGAGAACAATTAAATCATGTTTTACAGTTACCAGTATTACTTTTGGCTTACGGTAAAACATGATGTAAAGACCTTATCTTTGTTCATCAGTTACATGGCAAGGAATTTGTATAAAGACTTCCTACCGACAATTCATTCATATTGGGAATATTGATCAAGGGTGACGTTCACTCAATATTAAGGTTAAAAAAAGTTGAAATCTTAAAATAACTCTGGACTTTATGATATGTTTTGAAACAAATCTCACCCAAATCAAGGTAACTGGTACAATTTGTTTTACTTTTGTGATTTGTACAATAAAAATACCTTATCAACAGCATTGACATTAGGGTCAAACTCCAGAATCTGGCTGACCACTTCAGAGTTTCCATACTTGGTTGCCACCAGTAAAGCTGTCCAGGAATTCTGAAAAATAAGAAACCATGTGTTTTATATCTTTTTGTTACAAACCTCTTCTTTATCTTTTTCGAAGACCTTATTCTCTCTTGTCTGTGAATTTTGTAGAAGATAATTTTTTCTCAGTATATGACACTGGTCTACTTATGAACCTGACCAATAAGTGGATCTCGTATCACCTTGCCAGGAATACTTTTACACTCTGTTCAATCTTTATTAACATTTAAATTTGAAACAGACCACGTTTAATCAGGAAAATATTAACTTGAATTTAAGATTTTTTTGTGAAACTGGAGACAGTTATTACCAATTATGAAAATAACATTAATTCTACCAAGGATGGAAGAAGGGTTTAGCAAATCAGCAGTTCAAGTATTGATATTTTTTCTAGTTTGATTAGTATTAAATTATACTTGCCATTGTTTGAACATTTCAATTTACAAAACAAAAACAAAAAAACTAATTTTTCATTCATCATTTCAATTAGATTATAATTGGTTATATTTTTACACATGAATTGTGTATATTTCTTCAATAAATGAAGTCAGTTGTTTTATTGGTGTCTAACAATATTGGTGATTAAGTGGTTCAATAGGCAATAACATGCACGTCCTTACCATGCCTGTGGTGTCCACATTGGCTCCCTCCTGAAGTAGAGCCTCGACAATCTCTAGATATCCCTTCCTTGAAGCCCAGATTAGAGGAGTTGTCCCATACTGTGACATCAGAATTTTGTTACAAGGAGGGTCATATTTTCATAAATATATATATATATAATATATATAAAATATATATAAATTTACTGAATGAATAATGAGAGTTTGGAAATTCACCATATATCTTCATATTTCAGTATGTCAACACTGTCAGCCATGTTAATCTTGATCCCTTTAAGTAACACACAATCATCACATTTCTATGTATATATTACTCCTAAATTTTGAACCCAATGCTATCAGCCATGTTGACCTTCACCTCATGTCCTTACATACAATCATCACATTTTTTGCATATAAGGATCCCTTAATTTCAGATCCAGTGCTGACCTTGTCTGCCATGTTGACCTTTGCTCCATGCTGTAACAGTTCCTTGACAATCTCTGTGTGACCTCGTCCAGCTGCCCAAGACAGGCATGTCATGTTGAACTATAATCAGACGCATGTTCTGTTGAAATATTGTCTATAAGAGGTGTGTAAGTGATAAAATTTCAAGATTCTTTGTAACTCTGATCTGGATATATAGGCTCAATGCCTGTGTCCAATATTATTATATTAGGTTACATTATAATTATATTATATTACATTATGATATGAAGATCAAGGCTTCTGCATAATTCAAGTACTTTTATTCATATTGAAAATAGTTATATTATCTTTTCCATTATCAATTGTACCTCTAAGTAAACAACAAGTGCACCTTCATGAGGACACAGAATTTGCCTTCTTTAATGGACATATGATTGGTTAATTCAATCACTAAATCATACTTATTTATCAACAAAAGGTACAGAAGGTAGTAATCATGACAAAGCTTGTTTTACTTACCTCTGCCTTGATGTTACAGTTAGCTCCCCTGTCCAGCAGCTCGCTGACTATTTCATCCCAGCCTTTATAACAGGCCCACATCAGAGCTGTCCAACCCATCTAACAATTATAAATTGTACTTCATCAGTAATCTGATGCTATCAAAGTTGGAACATTGTAGAGGTTTGTAAAACATTTCTGCCCAGTGATTTGAGCCAGTGTTTTTTCAGTTTTCATTTCCTGCTATTATATAAATATTTATATTCTATAAATAGAATGTCGTGAAGCAATGCCGCCAATGTTCACCAATGCACTTCAAAAAGTATGGGAATACCAAAATGGAGAGCTCCATAAATTCAGTAAGCTTACAAACATTAAAACTGATTATGAAATTGTAAGTTACATTTTTGTTCTCCTTTTTTACATCTGTAAAATTTTCCATTTGGTATTAGGCATAAAAGATTTACTACTCCTATTTCTGTGCTGCTTATTAACATTCAAACTTACCATATCTCTGTGCTCTATGTTGGCATCTTTCTCACAGAGTTCTATGACAACCTCCAAGTGTCCACCTTTAGTAGCACACATCAAGGCACTCCAGTTGTCCTACAGAAAAAGCACATTTATATACTGTTGATACAGGATCTAACAACTATCTGTGTAGTACCCCTGCTTAATTTCTCAGTGTTGAGGATCAAAACTAATCTGTATAGTTTACTGGAACAATGATCAATATTCACAACTAAAACCCAAAACATACTGGATTTATGAAATAAGTCTTTGAATTTAGGAAGGTAAAATTAAGCTTTTGACAATGCCATTACATCTCCACCAACTTTCAGCTCAATGGCAACTGTGAATATGTGAAAATCAAAAAGTTTTAAAAGTGTTTTTCAGGATGGCAGCCAAATTGGATTTTGTATCAACCACTAAAAAAAAGACACTACTTGCTCAGGACCATCTCAGAGCTATTTCAGGCAAGTTTCAGCTAAATTCTACAAGTAGAATTTAAGAAAAAGTTTAAAATCTAAAAGAAATCTACATGCAGTGTATAACAACTGATGGAATATGATTGCTATAGGTCATCCTGGGTCAGGTGACATAAAAATGGAAACCTTTAGCCAATTACTGTTCTGCTAGATCATATTAAACATTTACCTACAGATTTGTTTCAGTGAACAACAACACATATCTCTCCTTATTAGCAAAGATGTGTACCTGCTGCTTTTTGTGACAGACTGGCTGTCCAAAAATGAAAATTGAGGAAGTCTTTTATTCTTGTTTATTTGTGTTACTGTTAACAATGTAGGTACGTTTTGTATGACATAGCAAATACCGCAGAATCAAATTATTTGGTGAGTCCAATTACATTGTGAGAATACTTAACTTTGTCAGTGGATGATAAATATTTACAGCTTTCATTCAGATACCTTTAACTGTTTAAAAGTTGTTGCTCGCATAACAAATTATTGGAAACATGTATAAACTGTGAGAGTACGTAGGGAATGAGGGAGGGGGGTATTATTGTACATGAATGACACTTACATTATCAACAGCGTTTGTGTCCACATACTCCAACAGCTCTCGGACAATGTTCAGTTCTCCCGTCTCTGAGGCCAGCATAAGAAAAGTCCTCCCATTCTACAACATTTAACCACATATTTTCAACAAATGTTACCTTTGGTGACAGGGTACATGTCATCATCAGACACTGTGGATAGTCCACTCTCCTTTTATCAAGATTGCCAGGGTGTGATTCCTCGATAAGACATTGTATACATGTTACTTTATCAACCATTTGACCATTCTTGGGCACCAGCATTCAAACTTCCTCAAATATCATAATTGAATGAGAAGTCAACTTCCAGAGCTTTTCCATCTGGACCACAAAGAGTTGATAGAATTTAAGTTCAATATAAATAAGACTTTCATTCACAGATTACCATCCTTACTTTGATCTGTTGTATCAGGTATCTTAATATTGAATTACACTTATGTTACCTTAATCTACCAATTTCATATCCTATAATCATGGACCGCCCCTTCAGTAAATTTCTAGGATGTTTTTACTTGAATTGAATCTTGTTTACAAAATAAATTTCCTATTGTAGTGAGCGTTATTTCACGTAGATGTCATTTTAACATGACCTGTACAGTTATAGTTACCTCGTCTCTCTCCTCTAGGTTTGTCATTTTACATTACCTTTACATATATAGTTACCTCATCTCTCTCCTCCGGATTAATGGTGCCATTTTCCAGGAGATTTATGGTATTTGTAAGGTCACCCTTGTTTATGCTCTCCCAAAGAAGTTGTGTCTTAAATGTTCCCATCTTTTATTTCAAAGAGTCTTCACAAAAGTCAATCTTCTCACTTCAGTTTGTTACCATCTTTTACCTAAAACATAAACAGTTTACATGCTATCACATATATGTGGCAGGATCAGGCATGCTGTACCCTATACTCTATATACATATACAACAGTCTGTTTCCTTCCAGTGAGGTACAAGACACTGCCTATACTCATTAGCCAGCTGGGTGATCTTACTGGATAAAAGCTAAACAACACAAAACCACCTCAAGTGCAAGCAGGTAATATGTGTAAGGTGCACAATCAAAGCCAAGCATGTATTAACTGCATTATAAGAATTTTTCCCCAGGGGATATACTGTGCAATACACATGATATATACAGTGAAGACTTCAGGTTATGCAAGAATGATATTTTGAGACTTCCTCATACTGTGTTAAATATAAACACCTGGTAAATACAGCTAACTAATATTAATATTAACTAATAACATATATTATTATATGTGCCATAGTACTCCTTAATGTAAGTGTTTCAAAATACTTCCTCTAAAAAAACTGGCATCACAGCAGTAACTGCCCTGTCAAAATTTCACCTACGTATTCCTATCATTCTAAAGCCACACCTCTATCATATAGAACTGTTAGAGTATATGATTTCAACATATAGCATCATAAAAGGATGAAATATTAAAACGTGTTTATATTCAAACTCGTAATTCAAAACAACAGCTTTCAAATCTTTTACTTCTATTGAATAAAGATGGCCAGATTCCATTCCATTACATTCACTGTGAAGTGGAGAGTTGTTTGAGGTTCCACTTTTTACAAAATAGCTTGTTTGTCCCTTTTACATATAAAGGTATCTATGTATCATGTCTTGTTTCTTGTAGAAAGCAATAAGAGTATCCAAGTGATGTGATGACTTACAAAATCATTAATTGGAATACATAGAGATTTGAGCTATAACAGAATCAAATATGATTTTTAAGCATATAAGGTATCATACACAAAGTTTCCTCCATTTCAAGACATCAAATAAAAATCTACATTGTCATTTACTAAATATGGTGAGAATCAAACTACATAAATTTGGATATTTAAAAAGCTGCATTGGCTGAAAATGGCAAAGCCAACACATGACTAACAATCACAAACGTACATATGTATACAGACTGTATTGAGATTTCTGTCCACTTGGAATCCACTAAAGGACTGCTTTCCTGTCAGCTGAGCTTGAGCTGGCTGTACATGAGAACAGTTTACTAATAAAGTATACTAGCAAGTTTACCAACCCTTATATCAAAGTGTTCACCAGGGGCCACAGTACACATAACTACAGTAATATACACCAATATACTGTAATCATCAAATCAAACTGAATTAGCTAGGACTGAAACACGTATTTTGAATTCTAAATATATTCAAAGGCACATCTGTTAAATCCAAGGGATCACATTCTGCCTTTAGTCCTGTTTCCTAATTACCTCAATTTATGTTTCATCAGTTTGTTTTTCATCAAGGTATATTTAGAGTTTCTACATCTATAATTCCTAGCAAAACTGTTCAATATGATAGATGTAACCATGGTAACAATCTGGATGTTGTAATTACCGGTAGTAACAACAAAACAGTGACAGTTCAAAATGAACTCTGGGCAATGTCATATCACATGTATAATGTCAAACTGACAAGCAAACATTCAGAATAAACAGTACAAATAGGAGCTGGCTATGCTGTACTTCATGTACTCAGAACTCGAGTCTTCAACAGCATTATATGTTACAATTATTTCTGAGGCAATCTGGGATTTCAGACAGACAGAAAAACACTTGGTTGGCATGACATTAGATTGGGTACATTTTTAGGAAATGCAACCTTGTAGCCATTAAAAGAACTTGATTTAATTGTGTGTTTTAATTTGCTGGGTTTATCATCCTGTCAACAGCAAAGGTCATTTTGATGTGGTGTATCCTTGTAGGTGGCTACCTTATATATAATATATACCTTAATATACCAAAAACCTGTCATACGCCATCCAGATCAACTGTGGTAAACTTACTACCACAGCACAGGATGGTCCACTTCTGCTTCCTGAGTAAACACTAACTGCCTCCAAGAAGGGCTGTCAATCGGGGGTAGTAGACTGCTCAACACTGCAATCTCAGGTGATGTCTGAGGCATAATTGCATAATCATATTTATCAAATGGTCATTGTGACTGCCATATTGAACGTTGATGAGGCTGAAAAATATCAAATCTTTCTTGATTTTCTTTCTTTCTTTAACATTCTCACCAATTTTCAGGTTAGTGGCACCAGTGGAACTTAGAAGGATTAAAATGTGTTTGGAATTTTGACCAACTAGAAAAATAACCACACTTGTTCAGAACTATCTCAGGATCATTTCAGACATGTTTCAGCTGAATCCCACAAGTAGAACTTGTCCAAAATGTAAACTGTTTATGCAAAGCTGACAAAGCACAGCAGATCGTGCATGACAACTCACAAAACACAATGGCTACAGGTCATCCTGTCCCTTTGGGTGAGATGACATAATATGGGAAGTGTATCTATGAAATTTGAAATTCACCTTTCATCATTTGCTTTCTGATAAGAAGTATGATCTTCAGATATTAAATGGCTATTTGTCACCATTTTTTTCTCTCTAATCAATCTCAAAATTAAAAAGATCACATTGTAAACATTGTTTTCAAGTGAACAGTCAAGAAGACCTTATTTATAATTTTTATTTTTTCATGACTTTCAAAATTCAGCAAGCAGCACTGGAGACCAGGGCTTACATCTGAAATTTGAGAAAGAGTAATCTAGTACTAAAAAGGCAATCACACAGTTGCCATCTCGACAATAACAACACTTGTTAAGGATCATGTTAGGATCATTTCTACTATGTTTCAGGCAAATTGCACCCATGAAGTTGAAAAAAAGTTAAAAATAATGACATTTAAAACACATAGCAAAACTCAATGGACAAAAAACAACTCTACATGGTAAAATTAAACAATAGGCTTGATATTCAACACAGTTCACCATTAAATTCACATCTTGTATTAGAGACAATCAATGTATAATAAATTAACACCAAGTTTTACACTAGCAAATTTGTAGCACTCAAGGCTAAACATTTTTTTTATCTACAAGTGATAGGTTCTTTCCAGGAAGAAAAATTTGACTTCTTTGAACTTCAATGGGTCAAGGTCATTTTCATTCACAAAATTTGTTTCACTTCATCTCAGGAACCTTACAGCCAAATATGATTCTAGGACGTTTGGTTTGTCCGAAAAAGTGGTCTGAAGGTTCATCATTTTGAATATATATCAAGGTCATTTCGATTTTCATTTGTCAGCCTTTGTCAGAAGAACCTTACACTCAAAATATGATGTCTCTTTGCCTCTCAGTTATTGAAAAGGATTGGTTTAAAGAAAAGTGGATGCTGGACTGATGATGTTGCTATAGTATTAGCTGATATGTCTAGGAATAATACAATAAATTGTTTACATGCAACATAATGTATATAATGTAACAGCTAAACCAACAAAATGTAGGTCACACTCTGATATTATGGTTAAAATTCAAGTAACATTAGCAATATAAGATACAACTACAGCTTAACATAACTTGAGAGAACGTAATCAACAAAGTCACATTATATTTTCCGTTCGCAATGTCTATTGAAAAAGGAACAAACATCACCAAAGCACTCTTGACTATAGAGAAATATACCCTAAAGAAACCTCAATAGGTGTGAATTTTCATTATCACCTTGTTTACAGTGAATCACACAAGTAATGTAGGTCTCTGTCTAGTTTCATACAGCTATGAAATGGCATCATGACTAACAACAAAATTATTTTTCCAAGCATTTTACCTAATTTCATTTCTCAAAAAGAGAATACTTACCAGTGCATCCTTTTGATTAATGGTGCAGACTCAATTTTAAAATTGCTTATAATGAATGCTGCAGATCATCTGTGAACCTTCATAAACACTCACTTTTACATAATGTCTCATTCTCTACAGGTAGATGTACATTATATACACATGTTCTGTACCTGAATAACCACTATTCTTTTTAACACTGACAATCCTTGTCATCAGAACACTATGGTAGGTAGGATTATACCCTACATCGCAACTGGGTAACACTTCACTTGTCTTATCTGTTAAAGCTTCATGATCAGCTGTTGTCTTTTCTAGGTCAGTATACATATCAAAATATCCTGTTACAACTGGAGGCCAGGTACAAATAAATTCTTTACTCCATCAAATGAAGGCACCCCCTCTAAAAATTGGAGTCACATGATAACCATCTACATTTTTATAGTCGCTAGAAGGAAGTTGTTGACAGCAACATGGCTGATGGTATCATGATATGCAATGCCTTGACAACTGAACAAATCACATTAGAACTGTGAAATACAACACTGGCTGGGTTGGTTTGTCTCCTGTCATTTTTTTTAGGTATAAAATATATAATAAAAAAAGACTCCATGATTTGTCTTTCATTATGTTAACTTTAAATAATTGGTTTGGTTTGCTTCATCTCCTAAAAGCCTGACTTATATCATAAATATTTCTGTAAAAAAACACTGACCAAATCATTATAATCAGCCATTCCTACTGCTTTTCATTACTATATATATATATATAAAGATAACTCAGCGAGCAACTTTACAACTTGTTTATCAAATTTACATGTGTAGAAAAAATCTATTGTTTTAAATCAATGTTGTATTTCGATATGCTTCCAAATTCCACCAAATCAGGGGTAAATATGGCTACATACATGTAAATATGAAAGATGAGTCCATTTTTCTAAATTTCAGAGTTGTCAAATTTAAACAAGATTCAATTAATGAATCCTTTCACATCCAGTCTACATATCACAAATTAACATTTTTTGGCTTTATATATATCACAACAAGAGAGATTCACTTGACTTGCTGTGTATGGCCTTTCAGTGGGGATATGTAATATTCTGATAAAATTTACTGACTAGGTTTAT